TCTATGATATGGAAAAGCATTAAAAAGTTATAAGATTTACCAACAGGGTGCAGCACTATTTTCTTTTGCATTTATGAAAACAGCTAATTTGAACTAAGCAGCAACAAAAAACTGTGATTCGCAATGAGAACTGTCAAAGTAGGTTTGTTTACAGTTATGTTTATGTTTTTAATTTCATGAATAATTTGTGATATTTTGCGAATTGATAATTTATTTTTCTCTATTGTTTAGGTGAAATGGTAGAACATTATGGCTATGGTAGATGTGTAATACTATAGAATACTGTAAATTTAAAAAAGCAAATTTTATCAAACTGTGTCCTCCAACCATTGCAATCGCAAAGCTTGAGTATAACTACAATAAGCATTTTATACTTATATTTCAACCCCGTACGAAGGACGGGTACTCTGCTAGTAAATAAATAAAGATAGGCTAAAGGTAAAACGAACAGTAATAAGAACTATAATAATACACAACATAAAAAAATATAAAATATTTTGGAGATAAAAAAAATATAATTGCGTATTTTCAACACAGTACACAAAATCATTTTGTTTCTATTTGTTTACTACTATTTTGATAGCTAGTTGTACTTAATCATAAAAATAAATAAGAAAAATGTAACTGTTGACTATGATAAAGACTATGAGAGATTAAGATTATATCAGGTTTCAAACCATTATTGAAGTAGTTTTTCATAATCATATGTTAACAAAGGTTTGCAATTTTTTACATTAGGAGCTAACCAGGAGGATAACCAGAGCTTCTTAAATGATTTATAAAATTCCAATTTCTTATATCAGCTATTTCCCCTTTTATTTTAAAATTCCTACAATTGTTATAAAATGACTTTTTATCAAGCTTTAATACATAGGCCTAACTTAAATCATAATTAACGTTTTGGGCCACAATTTTTTTTGGACAGATAGCCTAAGGGAATTTTAACTTAAATAAGTATTAAGTGTCACCTATGAGATTCCAAATTTTGAATTATCATATCAAATTTGTAGAATGGGTGCTTTTTCACATAAATCTAATTTTGGATTCCTTGCCATTTTAGCTAGAGGTGAGATATCCACTTCGGGCTTGCGTCATTTTGTTTATTTTGACAAACCCTTCAAAATGAGAGGTCACTCAATAATGAAGTCAAACCCTACCTAGGGAGCTAACAAATATTTTTGACGTAAAAGATCGTGGAACCTTTGTTAACAATCAATGCCACAAACAGAATATTTCTATCTATTTTCGTTAAAAAAATAGAGATTTGCTTGTCAATAATACAAAAAAATTCACAAAAACAAAACATGTAAATGCCGTAGTGGTAGTTAGATATCATACATCACCTACAATTTTTTTTTGTGGGATAAATCTCCTTGCCACTTAGGACCTACATTCCTATGTTCACCATTTCAAAGTAAAGTATTAAAGTATTGCCATGTCTTGACTCTATTGGGAAAATCTAAACACCAGACTTTTTCCAGAGCACTAACCGAAGATTCAGTTGACTCGTTGAGTTGAGTTAGTATTTAAGTCAATAAGTTACTGTAGTTTTTTTTTTGTTTTTTTGGCAATTCTTTTAACGATAATAAACTTATTTCTTCTCATACTACACATGTAACTTCAATACAAAATAAATTATAATTATTGTTTTGCATTTAATTTGTTGTATGGTTTGGTAATAATGCCCTTCAACTGGTAACAAACTGGTCCACACATTAGCCTAGTTAAATCAAGGCAAACACCAGTAATGAAATGGCATGTTTATTCAAATTATTTCTATTACAGTTTTAAATGATTTCTTTTAAAATTATTTTTTGTGTTATTGTTATTTGCTGAATCTAACATTTTGCCTAGATCTGTGTTTATCCAGGGAGAGAATATCCATCCCAATTCTCCCTAACAAAAGATGGGAACCCACCAGTTCCAAAAGAATATCTCGCAGTCCTAATACCGTTTAATACCGTTGTACTGTATCAAGAAATAAACTCATTATAAAAAAGTGGGTTTTCTATGCATGGTCATACTACATGGAACTAGATTCTTAATTTTCACATTCAAAACTATAAAATTTGGCTCAAATTCCCCAACTAAGTTTTATTTAATTTACTTCTCAAAATTATTATTGGACTAGCTTCCCATAACTTTTTTTATCTTAACTTTGTGTACGTTAGTTACTGACTGAGTCCGCACCATCTAATCACTGAAGTCTCTGACTTCCCCATATGACTTATACATTACGTTACGGTACTTTACTGTAATCACTGAAGCGACCAATAGGTCAATAATGACGGAACACTAAGATTTTAAAAACACGTCGGTCTTTGGATTGAATATAACAGTAATATAATTTTGGACCCTGTAGCACTCTCACTCACACAGTAGGTTTAAAGTATGAAGCTGTAGTGAAACAATCCAGTCATTGTATATTGTGTTTGAAATCATTTCCTGGACGTTGAAATAGCCATTCGTCATCATGCTATACATACAGGGTGTCTAAGTAATCAGCTGAACTTGGGAAATGGTTTATTTTGACCCCTAACAAAATAAAATAAAAATCAAGTTAACAATTTTAACTCCTTGTTAGCGAGGTGTATGTGCCATTTTAGATTTTGTTTTTAAATAAAAAGTATTAAGGATATCTTTATGACATTTGGTATACAATTTAAGAAGATGTACAGTTTTTGATTTTTTTCTAGGATTTAGTCCTGAATAGTTGTTTTCAACATTACTTCAGGCTAGTTCTATATGAGGCATTATCACTTAAATAGAATCCATTGGTGTTTGGCGGGATTTGAACCACTAGACCAGCTCGCTCTCCAACAGAAGTGTGCTTTATTTAATAACCCAATTGGGACCAACTGAAGACGAGATAAACTTTTCTTGTTTCTATCAATAACAATAATAATAATAATAAAAAATCGCACATAAACATGATAGTTTATATACAGGGTGTATATTTACTAGCTGACCCGGCAAACTTCGTATCGCCTAAGTTATAGGTTTCCCCTAAGACAGACCGATGGAAAGAAAGTACCGTTACGTTTAATTTTCAAGATGATCTCGTTCGCATCGCTCAATCACGTCCTGGTTGAAGTTTGTTCGCTACGCTCACTCACCTTTGGGTTGGAGCTCGTTCGCTACGCTCACTCACCTTTAGGTTGGAGCTCGTTCGCTGCGTTCACTTGCCTTCAGGTTAGCTCGTTCGCTACGCTAACTCGCCTCCAGGTTGAAGTTCGTTCGCTACGCTCACTCACCTTTTGGTTGCAAATTAGCTGTTGTCATAAACGTAAAAGAAATAATAGTGCTGCACCCTGTTGGTAATCCTTGTAACTTTAATGCTATTGAACATCATAGAACAGAACCAACTTGTTTAATTGAAACAGCTGTTAAGATTCATTAATTCCATTTCTCATAAGGTTAACATGGGAAACTCCAGAGCCACTGGGGCGGAGCCCTTTTAAGAATTTCGAAACGGGAAATAGTTTACGTCCGATTCGCATACCTACAGAATTTACACACCAAATTTCATAACGATCGGTGAAGTCGTTCCGGAGGAGTTTGCAGACAAACACTGTGACACGAGAATTTTATATATTAGATTTAAAATTTGTATCTGTCATGAATCATATCAGAGTGAATCATAAATACTTTTTCCTACCACTGCATGGAAATGATCACAATTATTGTTAAACCTGAAAACAGTAAGCAAAGTAGCTCATTTCCTCTCTAGAGCGGGAATGGACCATTCCCACACGCTGGACAGTTGTCGTTTCTACACTAACCACAGCTGCGGATCCGGTATGTTAACAAACGGTAAGCAAATAACATAACCTTAAAAAAGGAAACATACAAAATTAATCTGTGTATCATTGCGCTCTTGATACATAAATAGCTATTAATCACCATCACTATATCTTGTCAACTAACCCTGTACAATATGGCACTGGATTGATATTAAAAGCCTTGGAAAAACTTCTTTTTGATTACAACCTCCCAACCAAAGATTACCTTGAGTAATTTATAACACAAGGTTTTAGCGCTAAAATTGACCTATCAGTATGTTAAGATTCATACAAATTAAAACTATGAATAATTTTCCAGGATTATGCAGGCATAGTAACCTAATTAATTGAATTATAGGTTTGCAGATGGAAAAGCAAGACTCTGAAAATAAACTAAATACCATAATTGCTACTATCTAGATTGGAATTATCTGTTTGGAATATTCATACAATATATTAAAAATAATTCTTCCCCAGTTCAATTGAAGGCCCTTCATTAGATATTTAGCCTATTACTACAGTACGGTAATAAGGATCAAGCAAACTTTCTTATTAAAAAATTTATTTGACAATACAAATTTGTATTCAAAATATACATACAAATTCATTTCCCCTCATTGTATTGATATATATCCATGAGAGATTTAAGAAAGAGGGTTCATGTTTTCATGAAAACACATTCTAAATTATTGTTTTGTGGTGCATTAAAGTTTCCCATCAGTTTAAAAGGGATATTAACTATGTATGCTCTTGATTTGTAATTGATACAAGCAGGTTAACTGTAAAAATAAACTTTTAAGAGGCTTATTTGCAAATTTTAATCCCCAACGACTTCTGCTGCAGTCAACAAACTGGTCAAATTAGACCGCTCTATTACAGTGCTTCATTCATTAAACATTCCGGTGATTGTGGACTTCCAGAGAATGCACATTGTTTGAGGACCCACAATGGGGACTCCCCATGTAATAAATATGAGCAGTCGGAGGAGGCTGCAGACTATCTACTTTATGACTGCCCAGCTCCGAATGAGGTAAGAGAAAGAACTCTTGGAACCATGACAAAGGGCAAACACCTTTCTCAAGAGTAGTTTGTAGACCTGATGCAGTTCATTAAACAACTCAAGTTTGATAGACTATGGGATAATGCATGAGGCGCGGAAAAAGCTCACATGTGGCTAAAATGCATAGGAACGTGCAAGTACTAAGAACAATAACTTACCATCGGGACCTCCTGGGTGGCCTCCAGACATGGGCTGCTGAGACACTGGCGGGGGGTAGCCTCCAGCAGGGGGATAGCCTTGAGGCGGGGCATAGCCGCCTGGAGGAGGGTACCCTTGTGGCTGGGGGTAGTCTTGAGACGATGGATATCCTTGTGATGGTGGATAGCCTTGGGACGGGGGATAGCCTTGCGAGGGCGGATAACCTTGGGACGGTGGATAGCCTTGGGACGGGGGATACATCCCACCCTGCGGGGGAGGGTACATACCTCCAGGTGGGTACTGTCCCTCACCCGGAGCAGGAGGATAGGGTCCTGGTCCTGGTTGGAATCCTGAAAAACGGAAATTACACTTAAAATATTTTTATTAACACATTAGTGTAGTGTGTATTAAAAATTAATCAACCACCAAAAACTTAACACTATTCATAGAACTAACAAACAGATAGGTTTGGAATTACGTAAAAGGAATCTGACTGAACTGGGCCACCAAAAGATTGTGTTCTGATGACAATTACCGATCTCTATTGCACACACAAATCTTTAACCACTCCAAACTGAAAGGACAGCTTGTAGTAAGATACAGGATATTTTGTATCAAATTACAAAATCAAGGGAGAAAATAGAATTAAGAAAGTAGGCCATTCTATGGCTCATTCAACTACTTTCATCGTACAATTTGGAATTCTACTTCAGGATCCAAAAGTCAATGATGAACCAATAGCTATAGTGCCTGTCTAGTAATTTTATTACTAGGCCTAATTAGTCTTGCTGTTTAGGACATCTAAAAGAAAAATTTTAAATGAGTGCTTCTGTGTTACGTATTGGAATAAGGATATAGAAATTAACACATTCCTAACAGGTGACTCATTCCTGTGTATCTCAGATTGTGTAGTCGGTAGTGAATGTGCTAACACATTCTCCCAACAAATATGACTCACTCCTCTGAATCTTGGGTCATGTGATAGAGTTGGTAGTGAATATGTAAAACCAATGATACAAGAAAAGAAACCTTGCAAAATTTATAAAATTCAGGAATTGATTTTCAAATCATACTCTTAATTAGGTATTAAATACACTGAATGAAATGTTAGAGCGCTACGATTAGTGCTAAAAATATGTAGGAGACGGTAAAAAGTAGAAGATAGTTATATTTATAGTGGGAATATAAACTGCATGCAACCTTTAGTTTTGTAAATTCAATTTGTTTATTTACGTCATAAACCAATTTACAACATGACTTAAATTTAGTACAAGCAATACAAATTGAGACTATCTTCAGCACAAGAAAAAACTTAATTGAGTTTAAGAAATAGCACCAAAGTTATCTTAAATTTGTTGAGAATACACACCACTATTGTCAGGGAACATATTGCTTGCAGACTAAGGCCGCTATCCAGTCAGGAAATTGACAGACTGATAGCAAGTTACTGATATAAGCTTATCAGAACACTCATTTATGAACAAATATGGTTTTGGTAAACCCATCAACTTGTATCTGTTCTTAAAAAAATACTACAATTTAATATCTAGCCTGATATAAAGATATGAAAACCTACCCACTTGACACTACTGCCTACACAGACACATACACACAGAAGAATGTTGCTAGTATTTTACAGTATTTCAGACACCACACATTAACAATTTTGATAGAAAGTTTTCAACTGTTATAAAACTTTTTTGAATGCCAATTATCGGTGTCAAGGGTTCAAGTACGAGCTAACTTTAAACAACCAGAACAGTGGATCAATACTGAGATTCTCGACGACGTTAAAATGTCACTTAGGCAACTAGTTTAGTGTTTACAACTTACAGCCCCATTTGATCAAACACTAAGTTTTCTAGTAAATTTTTTATTCATAAAACAATTACCCACTATATTTTTCTTATTTATACACATTTGAGTGAAGAATGGAGTATGATGACTCGTGTAGCTTTGTTACTGACTAAAACCAGCTGTTTCATTAGCCAGGATTATTTTAAAAACCAATAATCAAGGACAGCTGGGTCCAGTTTTGAACCATCAAAAAGCTACTGACTTTTCTCAGGATCGAACCTACAACCTTTTGATTACCAGGCGAACACTACAACCGCTGAGCTACCCAGCTATATCTGCAAGTGTATATGTTACTTTTAGATTTTTAAACACAATTTTCCTCTTAGTAGATATTTTTAGGACTGGGGTACCGTACATATTTTAAGATAGCTCTAACAATGTCTACACTTCTGTGTCTAATGACAATAATTAAGGATTCTTATTCTCATTCTTAAGACAAAGATGAGTGGAGGATATAAGTAGAATGTATGTGACAATTGATAGATTTGTTACTAATTAAGGACCGACCAGCTGTTTCTTTAGCCAGGGTCATTTTTATAAAAAACCCCGTTGCAGCAAACCTGCAGACTAAGCAAATTTACATTTGCCTGATTGGATTTACACTAAAATGTCTCCTTAAAAATATCACATTTATTCCCTATTTAAATAGCATCAGTTTAACGAGTACTTAGGTTGTCCCAACTAAAATGCAACCAAAAGTACCACTAGCGCAGGCAAAAGGGGGGCCGCAACGTTTTGTACCTTGTAGGTATAATTTTTTGGAACAAGAATATAATTTTTATTTTTAAATCTATATATAAAGCCAAAAGTACCCATGAACTTTTGAGAAAACTACAAGTCACGCCCCCATAAACCATATACTTAAAATGTTCGTCATGACGAGAAACCTTGCGCAAAATTATCCATTATTTCATAAATTGCCTTATAAGGTCGTAATTGCTTTCCAAAGGGAACTTTCCATTTACCTAATGTTAAAAATACCTCAGCTGTTATTATTTGTTTGTATTACCATTACTGTATTCTGCTTTGTTTATTTCAGCTTAACTTAACCAATCAATAGTTTTATTAACGAAACGGCACACGGAAGATTTCTCAGGTGCCGTTTGACGTCACTAACTGCTGACGTCACTTTAAGGGAACACTATTACCGCAACGATACGGCATTAAGCCATCGGCCTCTGTGGTGTAGTGGCTAGTTTATTTTGTGGAAATCCGAACGTTCCGGGTTCGAATCCTGCTGGTAACACTAACTTTTTGTCAACATTTTTTTTTTCATATCAGCAAGTTTGGTTGGTTTGGTTAGGTTATGACAGTTTAATTTTATAATTAAAAATTAAATTAAATCAAATTAAATTAAAAATTAAATAATTGAATTTTAGGCATTTATAATTTTATTTTATGAATAATTTTTTAGATTAGTAAACCTTCATTCGCTTTTTTTCATTATCAGCACGTTTGGTTAGGTTATGACAGTTTAATTTAATAATAGAAAAATTATAAAATTGTCTGTTACTTCAGACGCAGCAGTTAGTGACGTCAAACGGCACCTGAGAAATCTTCCGTGTGCCCCACCGGTTTTATTAATACTTATGTAGTAAACGGGGTGGAGCCCGTGGGTAACAGCTAGTTAATAATAAGCCGCAATTGCAGGTGACAATGAGGATGTCCCCATAATCAAGGGAGATGTTTACAAATTTGCCGCAATCACGTGGAAATTCCACATATGGGGTGAGGGATGCTCGAGTTAGTTTGCCTAGTAGCAAAAACCCTAAATCCGGCAATGCTAAAAATCAGATATTTGACTTAACTTAATCACATTAAGTAATTTTTTCAAAACATTTATTTTTACATCTCTTGAATTTACTCACCAACATTAGGCATCGGATATCCTGGACCAGGCGGGTAGGGGCCGCTTTCTGCAATCATAAAACAATTTTTAAAATCATCTAATTCACCACACAATGTTCATTTTCAACCAGTTCATATTCATTGATTTATTACAACAATTTATTAGCTAGTACCTGGGGAGTGAGCTTTGCTTGGGGAACTTTATTAGTATACTAGTGAGAGCATTCTTTGGTCAATGTCATTATAGAATAATTAATTATTAAAACTCATTTTAAGTAAACTCAATCAAAACTATTTATTTACAAAACAAAACAATAATGTAAACAAACCAAATAGCAGATGATTCATAACTTTATAACTCAGCTGATAACAATAATCCTACATTTCTCCCCACCCAATTTAGGCTGACTTTCCGAAACTATGTACATCATCATTTTCAGGTTCCATTTGCATTTTCCATTGGGGTGGATCAGTTGCACCTTCTCTTGCTCTCAGCTGGTCAGCGTGTTTTCTCATTATTTCTCCCCCAACTAAAACTGTGTATGATAGCTCTCCCGTCCTTTCTTGTACTGTTCCTGGTCTCCAGCCCTTCTTCGTTTCATTTTGAACCCACACTTCTTGTTTGACAGAAAACTCCTTTTGTTTAGATCTTAAGTCGTGGTAGTACTTCTGTCGCCACACTTGATTTTCTATTCTCTCTCTGCTATTACACCTCCACCTATCCAAAGCTGTTGGTATTCTTCTACCATAGAAAAGGACTGATGGTGGTTGTCCTGTGGTCTTTTGTGGGGTGTTCCGATAAGCAAGCAACACTTGTAAAAGTGCAAGTGATGAACTGAGACCTTCTTGTTTGCAAGCACTGTATCTACTCTTGAAGGTTCTGATAATCCTCTCTACTAAACCATTGGTTTTTGGATGATACGGCACCGATGTGACATGACATATGTTATTGTTCTTACAAAAAGTCTTAAACTCATGGGACGTGAAGGGGGTGCCATTATCGGATACAATTTTTTTAGGAACACCGTACCTCGAAAACCAAGTTCTTAATCTATTTACAAGAGCAGCAGTTGTCGTATGGTCCATTACTTCGATCTCGACCCATTTTGAGTAAGCATCGATTCCTACTAACCAGAATCGGTTGTCGAATGGGCCTGCGAAGTCAAGATGAATTCGCTCCCAAGGATCACTTGGCACGTTCCAAGGATATAGAGGTACTTCTGTGTCAAATGAGCGGTTACTCTGGCATGGGTGGCATCTACGGACATACAACTCAACATCCTTATTCAGATTAGGCCTCCAAACATAATACCTTGATAGGGACCTCATGGCCTCTATTCCAGGATGTCCTTTGTGGAGTTCTTTCAATACACTTTCTCTCAAAATCTGTGGCACCACAATTCTTCCTAATCGCATGATTATACCGTTTTCTAATGTCAGCTCTTCTCTCTTATTCCAATATGGTTTCATAGATGATGGTAAGTTTTCTGTATCTTTTGGCCAACCATGTTCCAGGTAGTCTATAAGTTTCTTTATATTTGGGTCTTTCTACTCCTTTACAAGTTCTTGATTTGGATAAACTACGTCAATTTTCTCCTGAACTAATGCTCGAATCTCTCTATCATCTGGATCTAATTCTTTTGTGTCTTGAGTGAAAACCGAGACAAAAAATCAGCCAAACAATTATCCTGTCCCTTGATGTACTGGATCTCAAAATCATACTCCATTAAATACAAAGCCCAACAAACCAAACGGTTGTTTACTACTTTGGTAAGATCTCGATGCATTCCAAATATTCTTTCAAAACTCATTTTAAGTAAACTCAATCAAAACTATTTATTTACAAAACAAAACAATAATGTAAACAAACCAAATAACAGATGATTTATAACTTTATAACTCAACTGATAACAATAATCCTACAGTCATCTATCTACGTTCGCTACCCCAACAGTACTAACTTTTTCATTCATATGGACCAGCGACAAACATATGTGATGGCCGGTTTCTACCCATAGACATCCGTCCCATATATGAGACAGCTGGTCACATTAAAATAGACTGATATCGCATATTTGCGTCGGTGTCCAATGTTATTAAAAAGCTTATATCTTCGTAACGGTCTATTTGAAGGCCATGAATTCTCTGCAGTCGTCTACAGAGATGTATGTCGCATATGTGCGTCACTTGGTCCGTGGATATGATGATTGACAATGTCACATGTTAGTTGGCAAAAGATGAAGTTTTAAGATGAAGAAAACTTCCTGTTACATTTGAAGAATTGTTATACAGTGTATGTATATGTTTGCAGACAATATCCTTTCAACAAAAATTGTTGGGGATTGGTTGGCCCTACAAACTGTCTCCCACGGTTGGCCAACGGTACCGTATGTATTGGCCAACTTGCCTCTGTTAGGCCACACAACCAATTGCCAACATCTGTACATTTTGTTGAGCCAACTATTCACCAACCTATGTTCGGCCAATATACCATGTATCACGCTAATAATGTACGCTCGGCCAAAGGTTTGCCCAACCAACAGTTTCCCAACATAGGACTAACCATCCCATGGGTATCGTATAATACATATGCACAAAATAATAAAGATTTAGTATGAAAAACATATTTATCAGTTGGGTATTTTGATTAAATTTTGATGGTAATTAAAGCAAATTTAGAAAAAAAAACTAGAACAAAAATTATCTTCTCCAGACGGGTCTTGAACCTGATACCTTCAATTTGTGAGCTTCTTACCTTACCTCTGAGCTATCTGTATTTGTTAATATTTGACATTTTCAATCGGTGAATGAGTGGCCGGCAGTTGCAATGGTTGTAATACTTAAAATATGTTTGAGAGTCTTTATGATTCTGTTTAGGCATCATAAAGCATTTAATACTTTCAGAATTATGTGTTTGCATTATGATGAACATGAAATTATATCTTTGTTTGTTACTGTACCTCAGTTTACATTTCACAGTGAGGTGAAAATATTATAACGTTACGATTAATCTACAACCTTGTTCATATCAATGCAAATTTTATTAGAACCATAGAAATAAGCATTGGCCAAGTAAAAAAACTGCCTAGTTTAAATAAGCCTAGATAGAAAAAAAAACTACATTAGACTAAGTTATGTATAGGCTACAGTACCTATTTTAAACAGATAAGGTAGATATGTCTGAAATATACCTGAGTAGGGTGGTGGATATCCTGACTGGTTGTACATATTTTTGTTCTCCTTTCTTAGCTGAAAAGAAAAAAAGTATTTATAGCCTCTATTAAGATAAGGAACCTACAGTAGTTTAGTAGTTTGTAGTTATAATTTTAATTGGCCGCCCCACTAGTTGAATGTTGAATGGATACGTCCAAAAGGTTCTAAGCAACTAAATTCCTATCATGAATTTGTATGAGTATAGGCTAATCCAATAAGAATAAATAAATTAATAAAGCAACACCATCTTGTAGCTTATGTAGCCTATATCCTATGTTAAACACATGCTGTGTATTTGATCGTAGATTGTCTGGAAATGACTGTCTTGAGTTAAAAAAACAACTGGAGCATGAAGCAACAGTTTAAAGGAAAAGCCCAAACTTAAATCTATTAGGCTACATAAAACCTGTTCTGGAGTGTCAATTTATTCTAGATTTACAATACTACTCTACCTGCATTCCATTCTGGTTTAACTTATCTGGTAGGTAACAATTAAGAAACAAACTTTCTGAAAAACTTAGTCAGCATGTCAAATTATTTCCATAACTTAATCAAGAAACATGTAAATACACGTTTCAGTTTTCATCAATTACCCAAACCTAATCAATAATAAACATAGATTTTGGAAACATTGCATTCACATGACTAAAATAATTACAAACTGTTGATTAAATAAAAGGAAACATTGAGCAGTGTTTTCTTGGAACATTTGTGTTGCTCAGAATTGTTTATTAGGCTGTGATGTTACGCTAGGCATTTCCTCCAACTTTGGCGACACAAGTCTTGAGTTTTTAAAGGACTCAAAACTAGCCCTTTTTCTCTTGAAAACGGTATAGGAACAAGACTTACTGGGTCAATCAAATACGTAGTCCAAATGTTGACCTTATTAAGATCAAGTTTCAACAGCCGTTCCTTTCTTTAAATCGCTTCCAGGAAAACTTTCACAAAATGATTTAGTGAATTGTGTTGACGCCAGTTAATGTGTATCTTTTCCACCGAAAAATTGAGTACTAAGCTGTTGTTGTGGTTTTCACTGACATTGTGTTGTCAATTTCTTCTATGGGTTTAGCGTTTTTGTCGATATAAGTTAGTCACTTTCGTAAGGTAGGATAAGACCCTGATGAGTGACAACTAAGTTAAATGAATGGCTTTCTTTTAGAAAATTATTTTTAGGGTAGACGTTTCAATACTGTTGAACTTGTGAGACTAAGTTACATGACATTCTACAGAACATTATTGTAAGTTATGCGGCTCTAGTTAGTAACTTAGGCCTATCCCATTATACAACAAGGCAAATATAATAATCTCAAATTATATCTCATTCTTATCTGCCTTCACATATTGCAGAATTTATGGATTAAATTTTCCTATCTCATGCCTCTCATGGCACAAAAATAGGAAATAAATACAAACTTAAACCTTAATTAACCTTGTATAGGCTACCGATACAAATCTGTAGCTTAAACTTGATTGGTTACATGCATAACCAATGAACCATAGCATGTAAATATGTCTCACTTGGTTAAATAAATGAGTTGTTGTTAGGAACTTTAACTGAGTATTTGTAAAATTGATACCCATTCTGCAAATGACTCATTCCGAGGGCGGGTGGGTAAAAACTGAATAATGATTCATATTATGCTTATGCGATATTTCTAACTTGTGTGCCGCTATAGGTTAAAAAAGTATTTGATTCTAACTTAAATTATATAAAATATACTAACTTACAGGTTAAAATCGAATAAATTATCAATTGTGAAACTGACGCAATGTTATTTCAGGTAAGAAGACAATCCAAAATCCAAACACAAACAAGAACATTCAATACTACGTCACAACAAGCAAGATAAGATGAGATGACGATGACTGACAGACAGGTGGGCAGATTTTCCCATCCTTGTTAAGTCAGTCGTGACGTCACGTTGATTCGATCGATTCGGGAAGTCGATGTAGTTCTAAATATCGTCTATCGATATTTGATCGTTATTCGCGTCGAATTCGTTAACATAACATCATGGTTGATGGTTATGGTTGTAGGTTGTTATTAATGTAGGTTTAGGTTGTTTCTCTACAATCTATGAATATGAAGTATGATTGTGATAGTCACAGTAGAAAACGCTTTTAAACTAAAGTTATAGAACGGTCTGTAAATTAAATTTACCTCTCATATGCAAATCTAATTGTATTATCGGTAATAAGGAGCTTATAACCAAGTTGGACTTGGCTTGTGACCAAGTAAAAGATAAACAAGAACTTGAAGCTATTATAGTATTATACAGGTTATGGCCAAAATCCTGCTTACAAGCAGGCCTGCAAACAAATTTGCTATACGTAGATACTTCGGTTTCTTGCAATTTTAATAGAAAATTGGTCGTATGTATTAACAAAGTGTAATTTCGATTCCACTTGATCACCATCATTATTATCTTCTGTTGCCTCCATTTAAAATCCTCTTAAGCTGGGTTTTCCTAGACGCGGAGTCGGCCAGCGGAGAGCGGACAACGGAGAGCGGAATTGAAATTAACATGGCTTTCCGCTCCGCTGCTAGGAAAACAGTAACATTAAATTGCCAAAGACCAGCTGAGTCCGCTCTCCGCGTTCCTCTCTCCGCTGGCCGACTCCGCTGCTAGGAAAACCCAGCTTAATAGGCCTAGGCCTAAGTTAATACTTAAGTCATATAAATATAAAAATGTATAATTTAAGTTAAACTAGGCCTAGGCCTATCCAGAAAACAACTTCTCGTAAGTTAAGTACGGGTATAAATTAAAAATTAAACTAGTGATGTTATATCTGAAAACACGATTAACAACTTTTCTTTCGTTACGCTTGTCGACATTACATGCAATCCAACCAAACAAAAACAAAGAAAGAACCAAAGAACGAGAATCTAGAGTCCTGAACCTAACCAAGCAAGATTCGAGAAAGAAGATGGAAGCGTTTCGTTTCAGCGATTCTCAAGTAAAGTAAATTAGGGGTATTCGATATCGACTATTGACTTGTGGAGCTATGCGATACCAGTACCATAACTGCATCGCATCAACGATGACGTGACGACTGACTAACAAGGATGGGAAAATCTGCCCACCTGACAGACAGGTGGGATTGAAATTTAATGAATCAGCTGTTTCCATTTAGAGGGAGCTTCGGGAACAACGAGCACGGGAAAAGCAAAGAAACATCAAATGCAATCATATAAAACCATCATGATAAGTATTAACTTGTGTTGGTTAGTCTATGGTATTAATAAATTATAATAGAGAAAAGTGCACTACTGATCTGGATGAATTTTTATTTGAACCTGTTGACTTTAAAAGTATATATTTTCATGTTGGGAGCTTAATTTTTTTAACCTTATTTAATTAGCATTCATTCAATTTATTTTTCCTACAGTTACCTAACAATGTACATGTTCTCTCACTGATAAGCATAGTGGCCAATTCGCTCATCAGTGAGACAATTAATTAACAGTGTTAACATTGTCTCACTCTAATTACTTTGTCTCACTCCAGATTTGCAACGTGAAGGCACGTTTCTTTACCAATTTATTTGTTTTATGGTAACTGTAGGAAAAATCTAGTTGCACAAATAACTGTTTCCATTATTTCATTTTTGTTTTGTTCATTCGCGTTTACACCGGAGTTTCAAACAAAAAGTTGCAAACTTTTATTGCAATTAAACACCAGTTGCAAACAGTAGTTTCAAATAAAAGTTTGCAATTTTTATTTCATGGTTTTGTTTCCATGTTTCATGAAAATGTTTGAAATAATTTCGACCTTGATTGAAATATCATTGATTGATAAAAAAACTCCCACATGGTTTTCCCATCGTCGGCCCCCGATCCAGACTTATTGCCCTTTTTAGATTCTCTGTTAAATTGAATTATGAGGTTCCTCATCCTATTTTGGACCTCTGCCTTGCTTAAGTTAATTTCCCGTGAAATGTCATTCCACGCATAGTTTTTCTTGTTTTTGTTTTTATAGTCAGAAATAGTTTGATTCCAAAGCACTTCATGTTCTCTATAAAAGCTAATTAACTTAATAATATTGTCGTCTCTTCACTCCATCTCACTCAGTAGATCATCACTCACATCACGCACGATAAGAGGTAAGTCACAACAAACACGAGGTAGCAGTCCAGACAGGGTTCACTGAGTCGCGACACAGGGTGGTGCGAGTGATCACGTGAGTGAGACAGGAGGTGGTAGCGTAAGGGATGGCGGAGAAAAATGTTTCTGTTTTGTGTTTCAACGGCTCATAGTGACCGAAACTAGTGTTGCAAACAAAGAGTTTGCAACTCCCTTTGATCTTTACCGACTTCAAGTGGAAACAAAAATTTCTGTTGCAAACACCGAAAAACTGTTTGCAACAGCGAAAAGTTTCGTCTGAAAATGGGCGTTTTTAGAGATGTTTGCAATTTCTGTTTGCAACTCGTGTTTCAAACTCCGGTGTAAACGCGGCTTTATTGCAATGATTTACCATCAGAATAGATAAAACATACTAAGGGAGTATTTTATCTATGCTATTAGCTAAATGCACGTAATCATTGTCCATAATTTGCATGCGTGTGTTGGTGATCCTGCACGGTAAAACACGTGTTTCTGTTTTCTTTCCTCGTTCCTCGTTGTCGTCTGTTGACTGAGGAGTGAGGGTCGAGGTAGGACCTAAATAAAAATAATAGGTTAGGAAGTAAACAATTTTGTCCTGCTGCTACTTCATTCAGTTTGCCTTCTATTATTTATGCTACTTTTATTTGAATATGAGTTTAAGTGGACAGAAAGAAATGTAAGTTTGTTGTTCATTTCTATACCAGTTTAATTTACCTAGGCCCTAATCTCTTAATTCTTGAATTTCTCACATTTTCCAAAGCCGGGTGGTTTTGTAAGCACCCAGTTAAGATTTTATGGAAGCAAACGACTCTTGCAAAAACATATATGCCGAACTTAAATTAATTCTTAATAGCAAAGTAACAAATTTGCCATCCCCTCATCGACATTATGTTGAATACTTACTTGAATACTTGGGCTGCACTTTACTTTGGGTCCTACACTCATTTGAATGAAACAATCGAATAATCGATATTTTTATTCGAAATGAGTGTAGGGTAGGACCTAAAGTAAAGTGCAGCGAATACTTTAATGCATGATCTCTTCATCGTTGACCAACAAATGTTTTATAGATTGCGTCATTAGATTACTATACAAAAACACTATTTAGATATATACAATAAAACTGAAGTGACGTATGTGACCTTTATGGGGAAGGCGAGTGGCTCGCCAAACAGTTCTTTTATAGAGTACAAGGGCCTGCTGAGTAGGCTCTGGCGAATTTGAATCGCTTTGGGTCTAGAGCTCAAATATTAGTCGGCAGTGTGTTGAATAGTTTTATCGCTATTGAGGGGTATGACCTTAATATCACCGGAGTGATTTGTTCTTATCTAGTTACTTTTTATATGTCTGTGGACAAGATATAAGTTAGGCCTATGTTTTAACTTTGTTTATTTCGTTAATACTTAGTTAGTTGTGTCTGACATTGGACACAGGGTAAAACTTAGATTCAAATCGTTGGGTGGATGCGTGGCAAAACTCAAAGCTTGACAAGCACTTTTGCATGGTTCCAAACTAACGCTTGCTTCTAGTTGTCAAACAAGGTAACCCACTTAGGATTCCCTCTCTTTAGGGAGTATTATTGAATATAATATTGACCCAGCTGTCAATTATTAGAATTTTGGGTACTTTCCTGTTAAAGGGAACATTCATTATTATCGATGATTTTTTTCTCGATTATATCGATATTAACAAATTGAAAAATATCAGCTGACAACAGAGTTGTTTATCGTAGTTACTACGATAAATAAATATTGTTCAGAATCGACAAACAAAAATTTAAAAAAAATATTGAAATAAAACTGTTCTAAACTAACCTAACAAAACTAACCAAACTTGCTGTAACATTTAAAAACTCCATTTAATATTCTTTACTCGCCTTTTCTGTTATCAAAGGAATTTTTAAATGGTACAGCAAGTTTGGTTGGTTATTTTAGGTTAGCTTAGAACAGATTCATTTCTTTCCATATAATAGACTATATTTTAGCCTAAGTATCAGCTGTCAATTTGTAATATATCGTAAAGGGGAAAAATCGATATATCGAAAAAAATCATCGATAATAATGAATGTTCCCTTTAACAGGAAAGTACCGAATTTTGTAACCAATAAGTTAATGTGCCTTATTGCCATCATCGTAGCCTACCTTAGTAGACTAACAAGCTTTAATTAAACTACATGACCTCTGGTAGGCTTATGTCGGTGTTGTAGTCAATAACAAAATCAATTCTAAGTTACGGACAATATTTAAGTTAATTATTTATTTATTCCAACGGTTTCTCCATTACCTTTAAATACAATTTTGTCAACAAAAAACTAGATTTACAAGATGGCAGAGGCTGAAAGTTGTAAAAATAATCCATGCTAATTCAAACAATAGATTTCTAATAGGTAAGTATGGTATTAAATACTGTTTGAATTTGTGATAATGGTTTATTATTGTAACCTCAATCTAACTTACTTTCCATAAGTTAAGTTAGGCTTGTATATTAATGGACTACCTACTAACTTAACAAGCACTATCTTACTAAGTTACGGCACTTAACTTAGTAGGTATTGATAAAACTGTTTCAATTTGTGATAAGAGTTTTATTGTATGTGAGGTGGATGCTAACGAATGAGATAATCATTGAACATATAATGTAACTGTGTTAAGAGTAAGGAGACCAATTTGCGATTTGTGAAAATTTTGAGAAACATTTTTTCTTCCAGATTCCAAGTGGAGTCGGTTTACGGTGCCTTCTATTCAGGAGGAGACATTGAGGTAAGTAAGCTAAATTTTGATGATTTCCAATTTTTATTACAATCTATAATTTTATTTTATTTTTTTATTCTGTTGACATGGTCCAGCGGAGATGCCACCTCTAGAATGACATTCATTCTAGAAACCGCAAGAATCCTGTGGTTTAGCACCTTATTTAATAGTAGTTTACGCAACGATTGCGTTAAGTGAGTCTTTACGACACAAGTAGAAAATTTAAGGCACGAGCCTTGGCGAGTGCCTTAAAAACTTCTACGAGTGTCGTAAAGACTATTAACGCGAGTTGCGTACACTACTTTACCTACGACCGTTTTTTAATTACTATCAATCTGGATTTAATTACTAACAATAACTACTGATAACTTTTTAGAGAGGTTATGTTTTCGTGTATTGTCATTGCCACTGAAAGTGATGCAACGACTTGTTGTATAATCAGCTGATTTCCTGTAATTACATGTTTGTTCAACTTCGTTAAATATTACATTGCTAACAGCATTCTTACCATAAATAATATTGTATCAGGTACAATTCGGCAAATATTTAATTTATTTTTGGACTTCCACCAACTTAATTAAGAATACGCGAGTATCAACATGAACAAGTCGGATCAACAATTAAATTGGTCAACTGATCAGCTGATCAGCTGATTAGTTGACGTTCGAAGCATTACAATTTTAATTCTTTTCTCTCAATACTTGAACCTCATTGGTCCGTTACCTGTGTGGATATGAGAAAACTATGCGGATATGAAATGAAACTATGCGGATATGAAAGTAAACAGCTGTAAAGTGAAACTTTTCAATTCTAAGAACTGGACTGGAATGGCTACTTTAAAAAACGGTCGTAGGTAAAAGTATATTTTATTCTCTGTGCTTATACTTTTGACAGATTAGCCTACCGTCCTTTTGTCTTAACTTTGACTTTTTTTCATCATCAAAAAAGGTACTGTATTAAACTGTGATTGTAAACCATCTTGATTTGTTTGTGCAGTAGGCTACCCATTGATCAAACTTTCCTAGGTAGGTACTCTCTTTCCAATAAAATTGTGCTGTGTGATTAAATGTAAGTAGCCTACACAGATTCTAAAAACTAAATTTGTATATATTCACTATGAAAGCTAACCGAGTAGAATAAATGTATCACTCACTCATTGAAGACTTACTTCATGCAAACGACTTTACAACCTCTGCATACTCCTATGCAAGCTCTGAACATGTTAAAAACGTCAAAACTTTGATGCCTAAGCAAGTTAGTTGTTTTAGTCACTCTAATTTCTGATTAATCCGATACTGTAGTTCTGGTTGTTTATCGTGAAATATAGGCATACAGCACACAACTTGGATTTTTAAAGTTCTAATAGAAAACTTCTCACCAAAAGTGTCATGTGATCAAAAATTATTTATTTGGTTGTAATTTAACCTGTGAATATATGTCTACAATAATTCTTGAAAATTAAAAAATAATCCTGTGTTTTTATGATTGTTTTATTTATTAAAATGTTATTTTGTTCTTACACATTGCATTTGCCCGTGAGAGTTAGCAAGTAGCCAGCCGTACAATGAACAGTTCTTATGACATTTTATTGCGGTCCTCTAACTAACATTTCTGTCACATATCACTGAAACTAAAGCTGTTTGTATAATAAATAACTGAACTCAAAATACATAACTGATTGTACCGTACCACTGGCTAGATGGTTCAAATATTTAGTGTTGTGGTACCTACTAATATATCTTTAGTTGTGAGAGTTTAGTCATACACCATAAAATAAAAGTTTGTTAATAACTTAATTGCTTCAATTTTGTCCAATTTCAGTGGACTTCAGATGGCAGTAAACTGCTGTGCTTGTGTGATGGAAAAATTAAAGTGTTTGACGTAAACACAGGAAAGGTATTGCCATTTTGCAATCAGGAAGAGGCAAAAGATGATGAAGACGAAGATATCGTTCTTACGTTCTGTTTAAGTAAAGACAATACCACAGTTGTATCCGCTCACAAAAGTGGTCTTTTCAAATGTTGGAAATGGCAAGGTAAGTCAACAAGAGTGATTTGTTTATAGTTTTGATTTTTTATCTTTAACACACTCTAGCCTTGATACTATTAAATGACACAATTTTAATGGATAACCAAATGGCATCTGGTTCTTGAAACAACTCCGCTTGTAATGAGACAGCAACCATCAGATTTGATGGCAAACAAATTCTAAAACCTAATTAATTTACCTTTAATTAATTTATACTGTATAAAGGTTTATGGTTCATTACATTAAACCCAATTGTACACCAAATTGTAAAGGCATGACAATCAAAATTCCGCAGCCATATAAGATGTTTATTACAGTAGCATGTATCTCAGTGTTTGTAGATTTTGGTACTTTAGAGTATTAAGGCATTAAATAATTTTACTTGCACTCAAGCAAATATGGGCCTACCTATATTTTTTAAGTGATATAACCGTCATACTAAGTTTTATAACTTAAAAGTTTTATAACTTAAATAACTTTATAAGTTAAGTTTTATAACTTAAGTTTTCATACTAAGTTACTAAGTTTTAGCGAATTTCCCATATAGGGAATAAGCTATTACCGTAGTACTCATGGTAAGACCTGGACGCGGGACCGATTTTTTTTTCCGCTTTGAGGTCTCTAGAGGCCAAAAACACCATCCGTTCAAATTTATATATATATATATGTGTCCGTCAGCACGATAACTCGAGCAAAAATGATCCGATTTTGATGAAATTTCAAACGTGTAAACGTACGTTTATTCGAACGAGTTCGCGATCCAGCATGATCGGACCATGGGAACGGGGGTTTACAGGGGGTTTTATGGGGTAAAAATAGGTTTTTCCCATTTTTGACCCAAAAAACAGAAAATTTAGCAATTTCTTTCCAAACCATTTTGTAGAGCTTAAAAAAACAAATAATTTAGTATATTGAAGCGTTGTTATGCGCCTAATGGTTATGGAGAAAATTCCAATAAATTGTAAATTTAAAATTCCCATGTTATTCTTATGGAGAATAAGTAAACTGTTGTAGTTTGCTTGTTTGTGAACATATCTTGATCAAATTTGGAAAATGTTTTTATTTCTTACTAACTATTCACATTTTACAAAAAAAAGCAGTTTTACCCTCCCTGATGCAGCAAACCTAAGTACTTGTTAAACTAATTCTATTTAAACCAAGAATAATTGTTATATTTGTAAGTAGACATTTCAGTGTAAATCCAATCAGTCAAATGGAAATTCGCTTAGTCTGCAGGTTTGCTGCGGCGGGGGTATTTCTATATTCAAGTGTACTATGCTGGATCGTTATTTAATTGTCATGTAGTTTTTAGCCCTTCTAAATATTTAAGAGCAATAATCCCCCAAGTTTTGTAATATTTTATTGGCTTTTTCCGTAAGATATTTTACATAAAAACACATACCTTTCATTGATTAATGTTTGAGATTACATGTTTATTTTATCTTGACAATGTTTGAAATAGAAAATTTTGAGTTTCAGAGGAGGAACCTGTGCCTCAAATGTGGAAGGGACTTCACCGAGGGCCGGTGGCGAGAACGGCGCTGACTGGTGACGGAGCAGTACTGGTGTCTGGCGGCAGTGATTCTAGTGTACGAGTGTGGGACCTCCATCACCATGCGTGTCTACGTAACCTCAAGGGCCTGCAGGGTGTTGTCAGGTGAATTGTGTTTTCCTCCAAGCAATTAACAACAGGAAAACCAGAAGGACACACTCAATGATCCAATGAATATAGCCTACTATTAAAGTTCTTAAACTGCTTCCTGGTTACTGGTTTGAACATATTTAACAACTTACCAGCAACCCTTAAGAACCTTCCAGAAAGAGTTTTCCACCAGAAAGTTAAGATTGGTTGGACAGCACCTTCCACTTAGTGAAGAAAGTTTGATAAAAATTATTGTAAAACATGTCCATAAAGATGTAGGCCCTACCTGTAAGGGTTGAATATTTTTTGGGTATTTTTAAAACGATTAGTAGGATGTAGTAAATCTCAACTGGGAATGTTATTTAAAGTTATACTATGGACATTTATCAGTAACCAGAAGGTATTGGAACATGATTCAACCTTCAGATGAGATAGAAACTGGACCATCTAAAACACATATCTGCTTAAAACACATAGATAAAACAAAGTAGAACATTTGTAAACTGTAGTAGGTTACTAAAAATAAAAATAAATAATTAACTAAATACACAGAACTGTAACACTAAGTAGGTCAGGAAATACCATTCCTGGACCCAATAAATTCTCTCCAACACGCAACTTAAATTCTAGCCTATTCTTTCTGTCGTTTGTTGTCAGTTGTGGACGACAGACTAAATTCTACTTTGAATTTTAGTGTACTGCAAGTCCTGGAAGGGAAGGAGGGAAGGCGGACCTTGGTGTTTGCTGCTGGAGATGACACAGTTATCAGATCCTGGGATCTTGTGTCCGGCGAACTGAAGAGGGAATACTCTGGACACTTCAGTAAAGTCACCGCCCTCACATTTGATGAAGACCACAAACATTTGATAAGGTAATATTTTACAGTTAAAACACCTTCACTGGAAGCAGAGCACATATTTCCGTTATTAAAGAACCTTACAGTTAAACAAACACAATTTCACATGTTCCAAAATTGTATCAGTCGCGTATTTTAATATGTATTTGAATATCTTTCACCAAGCTCCATTGGTGATTGGCGGGATTTGAACCAGGAACCGAAGCCCCGTGCTCTACCATGACTAGACCAGCTCGCTCCCCTTTCATTCAAGTATGAGGTATGTATGTGCGGCTGCGGCATAGGGTTTTCTTAAAAGCTTGTGATCCTTATTAACTTTGCTGTGTGTGTTCTAGTTGTGGAAGAGACAAAGTAGTGATCCTATGGGATCTGGAGGCTGGTGGTCAGTTACGCACAATCCCCACCTACGAGTGTCTGGAGGCGATGGTCGTTGTCCCCACCGCCCCCTCCACCACGGCTCCTCGTCCTCAACACGACTCTATCTTGGTAGCGGTGGCAGGCGAGAAAGGTAGGTCACCATAGTTGTTGCAGTAATTAGGGCCTGGCATTGACTGTCGGATATTTGTAGTGCCATCATGATTATTGCCACTACTTGTTGGCGTAAACTATATGAATTCGGTGAAATAAATTCTTGATTCTCGAAGTAGATATCCATCTTAGTGCCAGCTGTAGCCAATTTTTTACTAAAAAATTCAGTGGAATAAGCTCACAGATTTTGCTCAATTATTCCTTATTTTTGGTTACTGAAGTACCTAGTTCATATGACACAAAAGATGCTAGAGTTTACAACATGTTCTTTCAAATTGTTTTTACCTTTTGTCTACAGCTCAATCAGTTGTAACTTCCGTTACGGCCGTTTCGGGATTAACATGCCCTCATCAGACGTCTTCGGCTGAAGCAGCGTCGTCACAGTAGAAACATATAACACGAACACATTTTACGAATACAAATACACGAAAATAAAACTAACAGGCCTGTCACACACACGTTACCGGTTGACATGATCAGAGCTAGATACCGACTGGAGGTTAATCCTGCATCGTTGTTGGTGTGGCGGTGTTATCAGCTGACCTTTGTACTCCTGCCTTTGGTCTATTACTGTCCTGGTTTAAAATGCTGTTGAATATGAAGTGTGATTTATATTGCAGTTTCTCATTTAAAATTGTATCATCTAAACTATTTTCTTTAAAAGCTCTGTAAATTTCATATTCTTCCAGTGTATCCAGTTTATTTCCTTTCTTGCTTGAGTGGAGTATCTCTAGGCCATTGTTCAGATCATACATGTCATGATTTTCGTCAATCAGGTGTTGTGCAAAGGAGGATTTTTGTTTGTCGGTTCTTGGGCATGGATGATGTTCTCTGTATCTAGTTCCGAATGTCCGTCCAGTTTTTCCTATGTAAAAGCTTGGGCAACTTGCACATTTAATTTTGTACACACCTGACTTCTCACTTTTGTCAATTATACTATCCGACACATTTAATTTGTTAATAGTCTTGTTGTTTGTCTTAAACGCTAATTCAATACCATGTTTCTTCAACTCTTTTGTAAGTGTATACTGAATTGAGTGTGAGTATTCTACACACACATACTTCTTCTTTTGTTGTTTAACATCTCCAGATTTTTTATCATTATTATTTGTTTTCTTACTTAATAATCTGTCAATCATATTTTTGTCGTAACCATTTGATGATGCTATGTGCTTGATGATATTTAGTTCTTTATTATAATTTTCGTCTGACATGGGAACATTTAACAGTCTATATAACATGCTATTATACGCGGCGTACTTCTGTGATGGAGGATGGTAAGATGTGTTGTGGATAGTTTGGTTTGATGTGGTTGGCTTACGATAAATGCTGAACTCTAATTTATTATCAGATTTTTCTATCGTTAAGTCTAGAAAATTTATTTTGTTGGATTCCTCTATTTCCATGGTGAATTTCAAATTTGGGGAAATGCTGTTCAAATATTTGTGTAATAATTCAAGTTGTCGGACATTACCATTAAACAGAAGAATAGTGTCATCTACGTATCGGTGGTACTGCAATATTTTTGGTCTCTGTTTGTTGCGATCTGATAGTATGAATTCATTTTCAATATAATTCAAGTAAATGTCGGCAAGTATACAAGATAGAGGGGAGCCCATTGCTAGGCCCTCGGATTGCGAGTAGTATTTTCCCTCAAACTTAAAATAATTCTGCTGTAGTACTTCTTTTAAAAGGGCTAAAAATTCACTGATTGCCTCTGGTAACATATTTGAGTTAGAAGACAGGTGAGTTTGGACTAATTCTAAAGTTTTCTCAACCGGTACATTAGTGTACAAATTAACTATGTCAAATGACACCAGTAAATCATGCTTTCTTACGTTTAAATTCTTAGTTTTATCAATAAAATCATATGAGTTTTTTAAGCGAAAATTATTCAGGAATTGAATCTGATTTCTTAAAATTTGGTCGAGCTTTTTAGCGAGTGTGTAAGTTGGTCTTATTGGGACGCCTTCCTTGTGCACTTTAGGCAATCCTCGCAACACTGGTCCAAGTAAAAATTACCAAGTAAAAAAAACCTTGTTGAAATTCAACAAGGAATGTTTGAAACATGGAATAAAACCATCTTACATCCAAATAAGGACTAGGAACAAGTCAATATCTGCATCCAAAGCAATAGAATGTGCTGAAAAAGTTTGGTTAAAGAATGAAATAAAATTTCTCTACCGCAAAAAAGATATGTTGAATAGATTAGCGCAAAACAAATATTTGGAACTAGCAAACAGTGTTCACCAGATTACTTTACATAACATTTTGTTTCATATCGAACAATCTGTCACCAGAATCATTAGGTGCAAAAAGTCAACCCAAAATAGGAAAATCCAGAATTTAGTTAATGATCAAAAATCAAAAGAATCTATAATTTTGTTTGACTTTGAATTTTACCCAAGGTTAATAAATAATACCAACATCAAATTTGACGAAAATGAGATTACAGTTTTAGAGAAAGGCTTAAAGTATAATCTCCCAAGGCATGGCCAAAAAGCTAAATTTAATGAGTTTATTAATGCCGAATGTGCCATTAAAACAATCCCGAACGAAGATGGGCGCAATTTAGCAAGAGTATTGGTTACAAATAACCTCAATAGAAAACTTCTTAATGACAATAAAACATCTAATTTAAATAACATTTACAAGGAAGATGCATTAGCTTTGAGTAGTATAAAGGAAAAATTAACTTTTCATAAGGTCCTAAGTCCTAAACAGAGCCTCAAACTGACACCATTTAAAATACCATTTTGTTCATAACATAAACATTCTGTTACAGGTATCGTAACCATCTGGGACCTAGCACACAACTGCCTAGTGTTCCAACAGTCCAACTCTATGGTGAAGGCAGCCGAGGGTGGTGGAGTGGCCGTCACTGGACTCTTGTACTGTGAACATCTCAAGACACTGGCTGTCGTCTCTGTCGACCACAACGTCATACTGCATCACGCTGTTACCTTCGCCGTCACCAGGCAGGCAAGTCATGACAATAACACGTTGTCAGTGTGGAGTGGATAGATATGAGGGTTGTCCGTAAATTAAGGTCTCCATATTTTACACAGATGGAAGTTGGAAAGATGAGAGTCCAGGGTTGGAGGTGTATAGTAACAAAACCAACAACCAAAACCAATTTCCCTAGCTCTGGGAAGCACAGCGACAGTTTTTCAATCGAAGGTCCTGGTAATTGAGTGCTTTGCAAAATCTATCCTCGTCAAGAACCTGACAAAGGGGAAAATACTGATCCTCTTAGACAGCCAAGCTGCAATAATGGCGCTTGGGTCTTGTGTGACAGAGTCAAACAGTAAAGAGATGTAAAACACCCTCAAAACAATAGCTAAAGCTAGCTAAGTTCAAATAGCTTGGGTCTCTGGTCATGTGGGGAATGCAAAATCTGATGCATTGGCCAGGAGGGGAGCAGAAGAACAGCGTAGAGGGCAAGAACCTTACTGTGGCACCCCGTTTAGTTCTGGAGTAGCCAAAGTCAGAGACTGGGTTAAGGTCTGGAAGGCAGAGGCTTGGAGGACCAACCCAAGACTAAGAACATCAAAAGCACTAATAGACCCCTCAATGACCCTTAAAAAAGGGGGACATCAGATTACTAGTAGGGATGCTAACTGGGCATGGGCCTATTAGGAAACACCTTAGAACCATACGGAGGTCACAGAAAGACCAATGCAGGTAGGTTCTGCGAAAACGAGGTGGAAACCTCTGAACCTCTTATTGCTGGACTGTCCGCCGTTGGCCCAAAAAAGGTTGAAATTTCTGTGAAGGTCGCAATTGGAACCTATGAGGAAATTGGGCATCTCAAGTTGGTTTGTCATTTAATTCTCTTGGATACTAGGATAGTTTAGCTCGTACTGAGAAGAAAAATCTATCTCACACCACTGTCATAGATCTATGTCATCAGTATCGCACTATTTAAATCAACATAAAAACTAACTGACTAAGTAAAAGAAACCCTCTACTGTAACATAGGATAGAAGTTAAGGAAAATCCAACTGGCTGATTAGGATTATTTTTTATTATGTATTTATTTTTGTACAATGATAAGGATCAGCTAGCTTACCTGGTAGATAGAGTCCAGATTAGCTTTGGCAACTCACACAAAACAGTAAAACTTAAAATTTCATCCCAGTTAGGGACTTCATCAGAAGGGAGAAGAAAGAAGACTGGTCTTCTTTCTCCAGTCTTCTTTCTTCTCCCCCCAAATATACTATTGACTTTGGATACTGCAAGTTGAAGTCTCATTTATGTGAACCAAATGAACCATTGACCCTTACTGTCAACTAGATACTGTCACAGTTAGTTACAGTCATTTAGATACTGCAACTAGACATTTAATTTATGAGAACCAAATGAACCATTGACTTTGAATATACTACAAGTAAACATCTCATTTACATAAAACAGATATAGCATTTACTTTGGGAAAGTATTGGATTAATATGCTTGCTCCCTCAATAATGCAAGCATACAACTGCATTGTACACCTAGTTTTTTTCAAGCAAAATTAAACTAGACTGTTGTTGATGTTTTAATAAAATTTCATATGTTTTATTCCATTTTAATTTTAATTTTGTATTTGCGGTTTTAAGTGAAACATTTATGTAACATTGTTATTTTGCTTGCGAGGTGAAGATAGAAATGATGACATGTTGTGTGATAACTATATGCTGCAATGTATTTTGACGTTAGGCCGTATTCTGGCATTTAAGTAATAAATCACAAATTGTCAAAAGACTAACACCCGTGATACGGCAGCTGGTGGGTTTTAGTGACGAGATATTGGACATTGTGTACCTCGGAGAGACGGACTCTCGTCTAGCCGTGGCCACAAACAGCTGTGACATCAAAGTGTACAAGACATCGGACATGAGCTGTCAGCTGCTCCAGGGTCATCAGGACATCGTAGTCACGCTGGCTACGTCTCCAGCCAACCGCAACATTCTGGTGTCCGGCTCTAAGGTATGGACAAATGCAGTGAGAGAAATATCTTAACATGCTTAGTATTATATAGTCCATTCAAAAATCATTCTTTACTTGTCATTGTCATAAAATACATACCCTATTGTGTCAACTCAACGGAATAGAAATCTAATCTATCAACAGTTGGCTTAGGTAGACGTGATTATGTATGAGGTGTCCTTGCTTCTCTCCCGTTAACTATATATTTTATGTTAGCTCTATGAAATACTAGGTAGATTTCACACTATCTACTTTCTAAAGAAATCCTTCACTACATGAAATATCTGTGTTGTGTGACTTTTATTTGTGTGTACAGTAGTATTTATCTTTGGGCTATAATCATATCACATTAGCCAGCTTTCCTTTGAGGTGACTAACGCTTGTGTGTATCAGGTGTGTTGTATTTTGGGTTATATTCTTTTATAGTTTTGAGGCATATATCTTTCAACGTTTCAACATCATATATTCGTATTTACCCAAAATAAAACCAAAAGGAAAAATCTCGGCTCTCATCCTCTATACTATTGTAAAAAGAATCAAAATAGGTATTGTGTTTAATACCTATTAAACTTTATTTAAACTTCCACTCAAGCCGAACAGTGTATTTAAGATTTGTAAACTCATGGATCGCAGACGTGCAGGAATCGAATCTTTGCATGTAGAAACACCTCAATGCTATACTCCTCGGTGCAACACCTTACCCAACTAAGCCACAATGCCATCTTCGGCCAGCTGGGAATATCAATCTGGCCTGAATAGGGTCACTAGTGCTCGCAGGCGTAATTCAACAAATTAGACACCAGGCTGTGTTCCCTTGGGATTTGAGCGGCACAGTTCTGTTTGTGTGTAATGAGTTAAGTCGTTCATTGTCAAATTGCATACATGTAGTCGACAGTAGACCCTGTACATGTTGTGTTATGTCAGGACAAGAGTGTGCGAGTGTGGCTGGTCACAGACAAGGAAGCCGTGTGCGTTTGTCTGGCCATGAGACACACAGCTGCGGTGTCTGCAGTGGCTCTACCAATCACCAAGTGCAACTTCTTAGTGTCAGCCGCTCACGACAACACCATCAAAATGTGGCACCTTCCCACCAAACTGAAGCCAGGTGATTGTTTTCTGTGTGTTTCCTGTGGTCAATGTTGTCTATTTGATAAATAGCAGGTGTCACAAGGTTCAGATAACCTTTTGCTGTTGCATTGAGTCTGAAAAATTTTCTCAAGACAAAATCTTAATATTCTCTGGCAGCTATTTGGGGTGTTTCAAAATGAAAGAGCAGATTTTAGAGGGCAGTAGGAATTACGTATTACTGATCCACTCCACTACACTCAATTTTGTTGGGTGTTTTTAATTTGTTCATTCTTATATTTCTAAAATGTTTAGTTGTTTTATGTAAAAAGAGCAGTATTTTAGTTTTAAATCTTAGATTTAACCCTTGAAATTATGTCCTGTAATTTAAAGAAAGTAGACTACTCACATGCAATTCAATACAACTAGGTAAGTAAATAAAATAGATGCGATTTTTTTCATACTGCTTGGATCAAATTGATTCCTTGACTGAATGAAACAGGAAAGCTTTTACAAAGTGGAAACCACTTCAAACTTTTCATTGCTGTCAGCTCAAAGTTCAATGCTTACAAAAACAGCCTGTCCAACAGTTCCAACTATCCAACTGTCTGCAGTTGTTTTCACGTTATATTCTGGGCCTTGTTGTAATTTGTGAGACAAAACGGTCAAAGAGCTGTTAAACTTATTTTGAAGTTGGCCAGAATGGTCTGTAGAAAAATGTGTTAATGACTGGTTAAAACTGGGAGATGAGCTTAAACGCATCTAATAAGCAACCCTGGCTCAAGGACCAACTGGTTTTAGTAAAATAGCTTTTATTTTATGTATATCATTTAACACATTTCTTTTCTTCATTTTGTATATTGCCTTCGAGATTACTACGAAGTCTACGGCGAGATTATCTACAACAGGCTAAATTACCTGTCTAAAAAATCCTGAAGTCGTCTACTGGCAACCGGTTTTGACATCGATGGTAACTTCTTTAATTTGTTTTTGTTTCAAAACAGCTTTCATGTGATCCTGTAGTTTTCTAATTGCGTATTAAAGGTTTACCCTTCAACATTCATACGGTCCAGATTTGGTATTTTCCATTATTTCACTACTACTGTATAACTTGTTTATAACAATACACAATTGAAGATTTAAGATGTGTCTTGACACCTAACCTAACCTAACCAAACCAACCTAAATATAACTTAATTTTAAACTAGATTTGCAGATATTTATAACAGTTCAGGTAATGAATATACGAAAAGGTCCACAGATTTTTCCTAGTGATAATTCTTACATTATTTTTGTGTACTATAAATTAACTGGATATTCATTTTAAGTAGGTACTTACAGTTAAGCGACTTTCATATTTTTCTGAAAATAAACAAGTACATAATGTCAAATTTTTTCAGACAAGTCAGAGAGTTTAAATGTCCACCTTACTACATTAGCTCATGAAAAAGATATAAATGCAATCTGCGTATCACCAAATGACAAGTTTATTGCTACCGGGTCTTTGGACAAAACTGCCAAGGTAAGATGATTTAACCACTACTTTATCACTGTTACAACAAGAACAAACATGATTTATTTCTGTTTATTAGTACATAACAAATGTTTATAAGGTAAAATATTGAAGTTTATCTTTAGAAACCCACTTTTGATTGATAAATAACCACGTTATTGTGACTCATTGTTTTGATTGGTTTAAATTTGTTCTGTATGTTTTACATTAGTGGTTTTTTTTACTTTTAGTTTTTAAGAGTCCTTGGAGGCTAGCGGCCATCTTGGATGATTTCATACAGCTGCTAATGAGTTATTAATCGTCCAAAAATATTTGTTAAAAAATTAAAGTGATCATAATTTAGCCTAAATATCTAGTGTACTTTGACATTAGAAATATTCTTGTAGTTTTGAATTGTTATCCAAGGGAGTCCATGGTTTGCTAACGGTCATCTTGGATTTGCCCGCCATAAGAGCAATGTACTTTTTAATTGTTTTAAAAGTTAGAACGTCTAGACTCCAAGGACTCTTAAGGGGACAGTGCGAGCTGGTGTATCCATATTCAATGAACATTAAACATTATTAACAAAACTAATCACTTGGCATGAATAAATCAATGTGTTTTTAGTTGGACTATTTAATAAATCTGTTAACATGAATTGTGAAACTAAATTACAAGTTTAATTTGCAACATGTTTGTTTGCATAGCCCTGCATAATTTTACCATAACAGCAACTTACAAGATTTGTGGCTGCAGGTGTGGAGCTGTGAGGACCTTTCACTAGTCGGAGTGTTGACGGGTCATAGACGAGGAGTGTGGAACGTCAGCTTCTCTCCGGTGGACCAAGTCCTGCTCACCTCATCCTCGGACTGTACACTCAAGCTGTGGGCTCTATCTGACCTAAGCTGTATCAAGGTAAGACCCTAGACATCTGATTGGCTATTGTACAGCACTAGTCAGGGTGTTGACTGGTCATAGACGAGGAGTGTGGAACGTCAGCTTCTCTCCGGTGGACCAAGTCCTGCTCACCTCATCCTCGGACTGTACACTCAAGCTGTGGGCTCTATCTGACCTAAGCTGTATCAAGGTAAGACCCTAGACCTCTGATTGGCTATTGTACAACACTAGTCAGGGTGTTGACGGGTCATAGACGAGGAGTGTGGAACGTCAGCTTCTCTCCGGTGGACCAAGTCCTGCTCACCTCATCCTCGGACTGTACACTCAAGCTGTGGGCTCTGTCTGACCTAAGCTGTATCAAGGTAAGACCCTAGACCTCTGATTGGCTACTGTACGACAATAGTCAGGGTGTTGACTAGAGGAGGAGTGTGGAACGCCAGCTTCTCTCCAGTGGACCAAGTCCTGCTCACCTCATCTTTGGACTGTACACTCAAGCTGTGGGCTCTGTCTGACCTAAGCTGTATCAAGGTAAGACCCTAGACCTCTGATTGGCTACTGTACGACAATAGTCAGGGTGTTGACTAGACGAGGAGTGTGGAACGTCAGCTTCTCTCCAGGGGACCAAGTCCTGCTCACCTCATCCTCGGACTGTACACTCAAGTTGTGGGCTCGGCCTGACCTAAGCTGTATCAAGGTAAGACCCTAGACCTCTGATTGGCTACTGTACGACACTAGTCAGGGTGTTGACTAGACGAGGAGTGTGGAACGTCAGCTTCTCTCCGGTGGACCAAGTCCTACTCACCTCATCTTTGGACTGTACACTCAAGCAGTGGGCTCTGTCTGACCTAAGCTGTATCAAGGTAAGACCCTAGACCTCTGATTGGCTACTGTACGACACTAGTCAGGGTGTTGACTAGACGAGGAGTGTGGAACGTCAGCTTCTCTCTGGTGGACCAAGTCCTGCTCACCTCATCTTCGGACTGTACACTCAAGCTGTGGGCTCTGTCTGACCTAAGCTGTATCAAGGTAAGACCCTAGATCTCTGATTGGCTACTGTACGACACTAGTCAGGGTATTGACTAGACGAGGAGTGTGGAACGTCAGCTTCTCTCCGGTGGACCAAGTCCTACTCACCTCATCTTTGGACTGTACACTCTAGTTGTGGGCTCTGTCTGACCTAAGCTGTATCAAGGTAAGACCCTAGACCTCTGATTGGCTACTGTACGACACTAGTCAGGGTGTTGACTAGACGAGGAGTGTGGAACGTCAGCTTCTCTCTGGTGGACCAAGTCCTGCTCACCTCATCTTCGGACTGTACACTCAAGCTGTGGGCTCTGTCTGACCTAAGCTGTATCAAGGTAAGACCCTAGACCTCTGATTGGCTACTGTACGACACTAGTCTGGGTGTTGACTAGACGAGGAGTGTGGAACGTCAGCTTCTCTCTGGTGGACCAAGTCCTGCTCACCTCATCTTCGGACTGTACACTCAAGCTGTGGGCTCTATCTGACCTAAGCTGTATCAAGGTAAGACCCTAGACCTCTGATTGGCTATTGTACAACACTAGTCAGGGTGTTGACTAGACGAGGAGTGTGGAACGTCAGCTTCTCTCTGGTGGACCAAGTCCTGCTCACCTTATCTTCGGACTGTACACTCAAGCTGTGGGCTCTGTCTGACCTAAGCTGTATCAAGGTAAGACCCTAGACCTCTGATTGGCTACTGTACGACACTAGTCAGGGTGTTGACTAGACGAGGAGTGTGGAACGTCAGCTTCTCTCTGGTGGACCAAGTCCTGCTCACCTCATCTTCGGACTGTACACTCAAGCTGTGGGCTCTATCTGACCTAAGCTGTATCAAGGTAAGACCCTAGACCTCTGATTGGCTACTGTACGACACTAGTCAGGGTGTTGACTAGACGAGGAGTGTGGAACGTCAGCTTCTCTCTGGTGGACCAAGTCCTGCTCACCTCATCTTCGGACTGTACACTCAAGCTGTGGGCTCTGTCTGACCTAAGCTGTATCAAGGTAAGACCCTAGACCTCTGATTGGCTACTGTACGACACTAGTCAGGGTGTTGACTAGACGAGGAGTGTGGAACGTCAGCTTCTCTCCGGTGGACCAAGTCCTGCTCACCTCATCCTCGGACTGTACACTCAAGCTGTGGGCTCTATCTGACCTAAGCTGTATAAAGGTAAGACCCTAGACCTCTGATTGGCTACTGTACGACAATAGTCAGGGTGTTGACTAGAGGAGGAGTGTGGAACGCCAGCTTCTCTCCAGTGGACCAAGTCCTGCTCACCTCATCTTTGGACTGTACACTCAAGCTGTGGGCTCTATCTGACCTAAGCTGTATCAAGGTAAGACCCTAGACCTCTGATTGGCTACTGTACGACAATAGTCAGGGTGTTGACTAGACGAGGAGTGTGGAACGTCAGCTTCTCTCCAGTGGACCAAGTCCTGCTCACCTCATCCTCGGACTGTACACTCAAGTTGTGGGCTCTGCCTGACCTAAGCTGTATCAAGGTAAGACCCTAGACCTCTGATTGGCTACTGTACGACACTAGTCAGGGTGTTGACTAGACGAGGAGTGTGGAACGTCAGCTTCTCTCCGGTGGACCAAGTCCTACTCACCTCATCTTTGGACTGTACACTCTAGTTGTGGGCTCTGTCTGACCTAAGCTGTATCAAGGTAAGACCCTAGACCTCTGATTGGCTATTGTACAACACTAGTCAGGGTGTTGACTAGACGAGGAGTGTGGAACGTCAGCTTCTCTCCGGTGGACCAAGTACTGCTTACCTCATCCTCGGACTGTACACTCAAGCTGTGGGCTCTGTCTGACCTAAGCTGTATCAAGGTAAGACCCTAGACCTCTAATTGGCTACTGTACAACACTAGTCAGGGTGTTGACTGGACATAGACGAGGAGTGTGGAACGTCAGCTTCTCTCCGGTGGACCAAGTCCTGCTCACCTCATCCTCGGACTGTACACTCAAGCTGTGGGCTCTATCTGACCTAAGCTGTATCAAGGTAAGACCCTAGACCTCTGATTGGCTACTGTACGACACTAGTCAGGGTGTTGACTAGACGAGGAGTGTGGAACGTCAGCTTCTCTCCGGTGGACCAAGTCCTACTCACCTCATCTTTGGACTGTACACTCAAGCAGTGGGCTCTGTCTGACCTAAGCTGTATCAAGGTAAGACCCTAGACCTCTGATTGGCTACTGTACGACACTAGTCAGGGTGTTGACTAGACGAGGAGTGTGGAACGTCAGCTTCTCTCTGGTGGACCAAGTCCTGCTCACCTCATCTTCGGACTGTACACTCAAGCTGTGGGCTCTGTCTGACCTAAGCTGTATCAAGGTAAGACCCTAGATCTCTGATTGGCTACTGTACGACACTAGTCAGGGTATTGACTAGACGAGGAGTGTGGAACGTCAGCTTCTCTCCGGTGGACCAAGTCCTACTCACCTCATCTTTGGACTGTACACTCTAGTTGTGGGCTCTGTCTGACCTAAGCTGTATCAAGGTAAGACCCTAGACCTCTGATTGGCTACTGTACGACACTAGTCAGGGTGTTGACTAGACGAGGAGTGTGGAACGTCAGCTTCTCTCTGGTGGACCAAGTCCTGCTCACCTCATCTTCGGACTGTACACTCAAGCTGTGGGCTCTGTCTGACCTAAGCTGTATCAAGGTAAGACCCTAGACCTCTGATTGGCTACTGTACGACACTAGTCTGGGTGTTGACTAGACGAGGAGTGTGGAACGTCAGCTTCTCTCTGGTGGACCAAGTCCTGCTCACCTCATCTTCGGACTGTACACTCAAGCTGTGGGCTCTATCTGACCTAAGCTGTATCAAGGTAAGACCCTAGACCTCTGATTGGCTATTGTACAACACTAGTCAGGGTGTTGACTAGACGAGGAGTGTGGAACGTCAGCTTCTCTCTGGTGGACCAAGTCCTGCTCACCTTATCTTCGGACTGTACACTCAAGCTGTGGGCTCTGTCTGACCTAAGCTGTATCAAGGTAAGACCCTAGACCTCTGATTGGCTACTGTACGACACTAGTCAGGGTGTTGACTAGACGAGGAGTGTGGAACGTCAGCTTCTCTCTGGTGGACCAAGTCCTGCTCACCTCATCTTCGGACTGTACACTCAAGCTGTGGGCTCTATCTGACCTAAGCTGTATCAAGGTAAGACCCTAGACCTCTGATTGGCTACTGTACGACACTAGTCAGGGTGTTGACTAGACGAGGAGTGTGGAACGTCAGCTTCTCTCTGGTGGACCAAGTCCTGCTCACCTCATCTTCGGACTGTACACTCAAGCTGTGGGCTCTGTCTGACCTAAGCTGTATCAAGGTAAGACCCTAGACCTCTGATTGGCTACTGTACGACACTAGTCAGGGTGTTGACTAGACGAGGAGTGTGGAACGTCAGCTTCTCTCCGGTGGACCAAGTCCTGCTCACCTCATCCTCGGACTGTACACTCAAGCTGTGGGCTCTATCTGACCTAAGCTGTATAAAGGTAAGACCCTAGACCTCTGATTGGCTACTGTACGACAATAGTCAGGGTGTTGACTAGAGGAGGAGTGTGGAACGCCAGCTTCTCTCCAGTGGACCAAGTCCTGCTCACCTCATCTTTGGACTGTACACTCAAGCTGTGGGCTCTATCTGACCTAAGCTGTATCAAGGTAAGACCCTAGACCTCTGATTGGCTACTGTACGACAATAGTCAGGGTGTTGACTAGACGAGGAGTGTGGAACGTCAGCTTCTCTCCAGTGGACCAAGTCCTGCTCACCTCATCCTCGGACTGTACACTCAAGTTGTGGGCTCTGCCTGACCTAAGCTGTATCAAGGTAAGACCCTAGACCTCTGATTGGCTACTGTACGACACTAGTCAGGGTGTTGACTAGACGAGGAGTGTGGAACGTCAGCTTCTCTCCGGTGGACCAAGTCCTACTCACCTCATCTTTGGACTGTACACTCTAGTTGTGGGCTCTGTCTGACCTAAGCTGTATCAAGGTAAGACCCTAGACCTCTGATTGGCTATTGTACAACACTAGTCAGGGTGTTGACTAGACGAGGAGTGTGGAACGTCAGCTTCTCTCCGGTGGACCAAGTACTGCTTACCTCATCCTCGGACTGTACACTCAAGCTGTGGGCTCTGTCTGACCTAAGCTGTATCAAGGTAAGACCCTAGACCTCTAATTGGCTACTGTACAACACTAGTCAGGGTGTTGACTGGACATAGACGAGGAGTGTGGAACGTCAGCTTCTCTCCGGTGGACCAAGTCCTGCTCACCTCATCCTCGGACTGTACACTCAAGCTGTGGGCTCTATCTGACCTAAGCTGTATCAAGGTAAGACCCTAGACCTCTGATTGGCTACTGTACGACACTAGTCAGGGTGTTGACTAGACGAGGAGTGTGGAACGTCAGCTTCTCTCCGGTGGACCAAGTCCTACTCACCTCATCTTTGGACTGTACACTCAAGCAGTGGGCTCTGTCTGACCTAAGCTGTATCAAGGTAAGACCCTAGACCTCTGATTGGCTACTGTACGACACTAGTCAGGGTGTTGACTAGACGAGGAGTGTGGAACGTCAGCTTCTCTCTGGTGGACCAAGTCCTGCTCACCTCATCTTCGGACTGTACACTCAAGCTGTGGGCTCTGTCTGACCTAAGCTGTATCAAGGTAAGACCCTAGATCTCTGATTGGCTACTGTACGACACTAGTCAGGGTATTGACTAGACGAGGAGTGTGGAACGTCAGCTTCTCTCCGGTGGACCAAGTCCTACTCACCTCATCTTTGGACTGTACACTCTAGTTGTGGGCTCTGTCTGACCTAAGCTGTATCAAGGTAAGACCCTAGACCTCTGATTGGCTACTGTACGACACTAGTCAGGGTGTTGACTAGACGAGGAGTGTGGAACGTCAGCTTCTCTCTGGTGGACCAAGTCCTGCTCACCTCATCTTCGGACTGTACACTCAAGCTGTGGGCTCTGTCTGACCTAAGCTGTATCAAGGTAAGACCCTAGACCTCTGATTGGCTACTGTACGACACTAGTCTGGGTGTTGACTAGACGAGGAGTGTGGAACGTCAGCTTCTCTCTGGTGGACCAAGTCCTGCTCACCTCATCTTCGGACTGTACACTCAAGCTGTGGGCTCTATCTGACCTAAGCTGTATCAAGGTAAGACCCTAGACCTCTGATTGGCTATTGTACAACACTAGTCAGGGTGTTGACTAGACGAGGAGTGTGGAACGTCAGCTTCTCTCTGGTGGACCAAGTCCTGCTCACCTTATCTTCGGACTGTACACTCAAGCTGTGGGCTCTGTCTGACCTAAGCTGTATCAAGGTAAGACCCTAGACCTCTGATTGGCTACTGTACGACACTAGTCAGGGTGTTGACTAGACGAGGAGTGTGGAACGTCAGCTTCTCTCTGGTGGACCAAGTCCTGCTCACCTCATCTTCGGACTGTACACTCAAGCTGTGGGCTCTATCTGACCTAAGCTGTATCAAGGTAAGACCCTAGACCTCTGATTGGCTACTGTACGACACTAGTCAGGGTGTTGACTAGACGAGGAGTGTGGAACGTCAGCTTCTCTCTGGTGGACCAAGTCCTGCTCACCTCATCTTCGGACTGTACACTCAAGCTGTGGGCTCTGTCTGACCTAAGCTGTATCAAGGTAAGACCCTAGACCTCTGATTGGCTACTGTACGACACTAGTCAGGGTGTTGACTAGACGAGGAGTGTGGAACGTCAGCTTCTCTCCGGTGGACCAAGTCCTGCTCACCTCATCCTCGGACTGTACACTCAAGCTGTGGGCTCTATCTGACCTAAGCTGTATAAAGGTAAGACCCTAGACCTCTGATTGGCTACTGTACGACAATAGTCAGGGTGTTGACTAGAGGAGGAGTGTGGAACGCCAGCTTCTCTCCAGTGGACCAAGTCCTGCTCACCTCATCTTTGGACTGTACACTCAAGCTGTGGGCTCTATCTGACCTAAGCTGTATCAAGGTAAGACCCTAGACCTCTGATTGGCTACTGTACGACAATAGTCAGGGTGTTGACTAGACGAGGAGTGTGGAACGTCAGCTTCTCTCCAGTGGACCAAGTCCTGCTCACCTCATCCTCCGACTGTACACTCAAGTTGTGGGCTCTGCCTGACCTAAGCTGTATCAAGGTAAGACCCTAGACCTCTGATTGGCTACTGTACGACACTAGTCAGGGTGTTGACTAGACGAGGAGTGTGGAACGTCAGCTTCTCTCCGGTGGACCAAGTCCTACTCACCTCATCTTTGGACTGTACACTCTAGTTGTGGGCTCTGTCTGACCTAAGCTGTATCAAGGTAAGACCCTAGACCTCTGATTGGCTATTGTACAACACTAGTCAGGGTGTTGACTAGACGAGGAGTGTGGAACGTCAGCTTCTCTCCGTTGGACCAAGTACTGCTTACCTCATCCTCGGACTGTACACTCAAGCTGTGGGCTCTGTCTGACCTAAGCTGTATCAAGGTAAGACCCTAGACCTCTAATTGGCTACTGTACAACACTAGTCAGGGTGTTGACTGGACATAGACGAGGAGTGTGGAACGTCAGCTTCTCTCCGGTGGACCAAGTCCTGCTCACCTCATCCTCGGACTGTACACTCAAGCTGTGGGCTCTATCTGACCTAAGCTGTATCAAGGTAAGACCCTAGACCTCTGATTGGCTATTGTACAACACTAGTCAGAGTGTTGACTAGACGAGGAGTGTGGAACGTCAGCTTCTCTCCAGTGGACCAAGTCCTGCTCACCTCATCCTCGGACTGTACACTCAAGCTGTGGGCTCTATCTGACTTGTTCTGTGTCATTCTGTTCTTATGTTAGGTCTTACTTGTTTCGTGATAGACCATATGTGTAATGACAACTGTGTGGTCATTACACCCAACAAAGTGGTTTTAAAGTGACGTGTGTGTGTGTGTGTGTGTGTGTGTGTGGATGTGTACAGAGCTACAGACTACACCTGTAGTCTGATTATGATCAAATTTGGTACCTATGTGGAAATTTGTGTATTAATTCATAGTATATCCAGGCATTTTTTCATTTTTTTATTTTGATTGTTAATAGGTGACTGCGCTCTATAAACCACTTAAATAATTGAAACATCTGATTTTTACAAAAAAAAAAAAGATCAAACGATGCTAGTTAAAATTTACGTTATAGCCCTTTAACTCTGAACAAAATGGCACAACCTGCAATGCTGTAAATATTACAGTTCAAAAGTCCTTGCTATTTTTGTCATTTTTCCCGTTAAAACTCACAAGTACTCCTTCCCCTTACCCAGTCAGTATCATATTGTTTTGCTTATAAAGTACTAGGATGTTCAATTTTAATGTCAAGCCAATGGAAGAAAGTGTGTCAGTTTGTTGATACCGTTTATTTTGTTGTTGTAGACGCTAGAAGGCCACGAGTCGTCAGTGATGGCAGGCAGGTTCGTCACCCGAGGGCTGCAGGTTGTGTCTGTCGGAGCCGACGGTCTTCTCAAACTGTGGAGCATCAAGACTAGCGAGTGCGTTAAGAGTTTTGAACATCACGACGCCAAGATCTGGGCTCTCGTGGGTTAGTTACGCCTACAGATTTTTTCTCTGTCCATTCAACGTTTCACTAGCTATGATTAAGTTTTGAGTTTTAGTTTCAGAACGGATTCGCTCAGTTATCAAGTGGTTCTGTCAAACTTTATAGTCAGGAAAACACTTTAAATATAACTTTAATACTATAATAAAACCCACAATAGTCAGAGCCTTCTTTATGTTCTATCAAGTTTATGTTGAATTGGGTATAAATATTTATCAAAATCTAAGGAAAAAAGAAAAAATCTTTATCCCTCAAAAAAGAGCTATCAGACTAATAGAGTGCCTAGAAGAAATTGTAAAACGATTTTCATTAAATTCAAAACTCTTACCTTCTACAGCTCAATTATTTATCACATTGCTTTAATGATTAAGGAAAACTTTGACACATTCATGCTTAAAAATCTGACCACAATTATAATACAAGATTTAAAAACTCACTCAAGCCTACACAACATAGGCTACACTTTTTACATTTGTCACCAAAGTACATGGGGCCCAAAATTTACAATAAACTGCCACCAAGCATAAAACAGATTCACCCTTTAACCAAACTCAAAACCCATTTAAAATCCTGGCTATTGGTTAAGTTAGTCTATTCTATGGGAAATTTTTTTGAAAGTCAGTATATGTTTTCTTTTTTGATTGCGTTAAATAATTAACACTTTTGAGATTGTTTACTATGGTTCTATAGTTAAAGATATCTAGAATTAGGCATTCTTTGACTATTCACCAGTCAATTTTATTGATGTGATGTGATGCTGTAAATAAATAAAAATATATATTCAAGCACAACACAGCAACCTGTTGAAGTCTGTCACCAACACATACTTCAACTTGGGTTGGGGAGTCAAGCTGTGCTTTGGGCTTGCATCGATGCTGCAATATCTCCTATCTTAAAAAAAAATCACCATCAAATTTAACAGTGTGAAGAGTTGGGTTATAAACCCTGGACTATGTTAAGACAAGACAACAATTTCAAACCTTAGCAGTAGTTTGAAACTCTTATTGTTTGGTATAGTATCCAGTGACGAGACCCGACTAGTGACAGGAGGAGCTGACTCTCAGCTGGTAGTCTGGCGTGACGTGACCGAGGAGAGTGCGGCTCGAGCAGCTGCCGAGCGTCAGGAGCGAGCGTTACAGGTAACTGAGTGGAACAGCCAACAATAACAAAGTGGGCAAGGGCCTACGATCCTTAGGATTGTTGGCACATCAGGCATCATTTGAAAAGAGTCCATTCTGGCACATAAAACACAATGCTTTACTCCATACATATTTAGACAATTTATGTATCACTGACAGTATTTTCAATCTTCCTTGAGTCAGAAATTTGTAAACTTCCTTTTCCTTACTATTGTGTTGGCGATTGTTAACTGATCACAACTAAACTTGAAGATTCTCTCTTCCTTACTCAATCGTTCCTTGGTTGGCTGGTAATGCAGGCAGAGAATGAAATATTCTGACCTTTTCCGTTAATTCACTACCACTAGATTTAGAGCAATAGATTATTACCAATAGAAGTTTTAGTGAATTAAAATTTAGTAAGGTTAGGTTAGGTTAGAATAGAGTTAGAAAAACCTAATCCAACCACATTCTACTAGCCTAGTGGTAGTGAATTAACAGAAAAGGTCCAAATATTCTAATTATTGGGTGTAGTATGCAGTTTTTTGTTTCTTGTGCCAGTTTGTTATCCCAATAACAATCCTGTGATTAAGTAGAGTTGTCCGTTAGGCGTTAACACTAAAATACTCGGTGGATTTGAGGTTTATAGCAGTTATATTTGGTTTTGTGTAGGTGTAGTATTGTTTATTTTATATTCTAAGGTCTGAATGGACTGGAGTTGATTAAAAACATTTGAAAATATGTTACATTTATTTTACAATTATTACAAGTTGTTTCAATTTTCACACAAAATTATATGTATGTTAAATTATATGTTCTTGTGTGGTAATGAAATATGGTTCTAATGGTGTAAACAAGGGAACAAAATGTGTGGTATAAGATATGTATATTATGTTTTTAGGACCAAGAGCTGGCCAACTTGCTGCATGATGAAGATCTGCTGCCTGCCCTCAGACTGGCACTCACCTTGGAGCGGCCGGCCACTGCGCTTAAAATTATTGAAAGTAATCAACTTATTTTCAAATTGCTTCAATTCTTTCTGTACTAATTAAACGGTGATGTCATTGTAAACATGGGATGTACCTTCGAAACTGCCCCTAGACTTTACCTTAGTGACACAAAAATATTGGATCACAAAAGTTTTTTTTTTTAGAAAAATGATACCAATCTTGACTAAATTACGTTTGCAATAATTATTTGACAGATTTGCAGAATAATGACGGAATAATTATTTTCTTTGATGTCAACTGTTCGAAAATAAATAAAATAATGCCTGTTACCTAAAGATTGTGGGCAACAAAAATGCATTGTTGAAAGATAACAATCCCACCCCAAATGTTATCTAGTGGGTAAGGTATAATATACCCATATTATACAGCACAAAATTTAAACTTTTGTCAACAATTAACAATGTAAACAGCTGGTTGACAAAATCTTAAATCTAAAGTCATTTACACAACGTTAACAATGGTTTTTGTTTTTATTATGATTTCTCTGAGTGCTCACACGATTCCCTGTTTTAACAGCTGTGTTGAAGCAAGACAGAGACGGACTTCTGGACACAGTTCGTCAACTGAGAGAGGATCAGAAGAGGACTTTGTTGAAACTTGCTACAGAGTGGAACTCTATCAGCAAACACTGCTACGCTGCTCAGGTATTAACAAAACAACCCAACCTCCCCCACTAACTGTGAGCCAAACTCTTGTACATAGACGAGGAGTGTGGAACGTCACACTTTTAACAAAGAAATGTAATGTGTGGTGTAATGAAATAAGTAATGTGAAGTAGATCTTTGGAAGTTGTATGGGGCGCTTTTTTCTGTTAAGTTAAGTGTTACAGTTCATTTGTTAGTTTTATAGTTTTTTTGTGTGTTTTGGTGGAGTTTAGGTGGATTTTTTGTTACATCTTTGACTTTTGGGTACTGCAGTAGAAAGAAATCCCATCTATATGGACTAGCTGTTGGCAGTTGTATATTAAAAGAACATAGTTTAAAGAGCCAGTTACAGAATGTGCTAGTGTCTAAAATTCCATTTTGTACCTTATTTTTTGTTCCCAAGATAGTTGAAGTAACATAAAGGATAATCAGAGGTCTGTTCAAAAATTTTCCGACCTTACTTTTTATCTAGTAATACAACAACCGCATTGAGCTGCACTCTGGCGCAAGGATCGAGGCGACTGTAAAAGTCTTAAGTTATTGCTTTAACTCGATGAATAGACCTTTTGTTTCCAACAATCCGATCGGCAAAAAAACGTAGGAGACTAGCTAATAAATAAGTATATTCATTTTTTGAATTTTTAATCTAATTAAGATCTTAGTTCAGGCCAGATATTTTTAATTTTTTCAGGTTGAGTCAAAAATGTTGACATACTTTTGGAAATAATTATTATTTATATATTATTTGACTATAATCGGTTTATACAAAATCTGTAATCGCGGCCAAATTTTAAGCATCTTCTGTGCTCACTGTAAAATTGTATGTACATCTATCTGCTTTCTTCACGATTCTACATTCACGGCAAAATAGTGAACATTTTGCACGATCACGGAGACATCATATTTGGAGACATCATCTTCGTCTTCACCGATCACGGTCAAATCATGAACGTCTCGGCTCCTATGGCTGTGGAAAAATAGTTAACATCTTGCGCAATAGCGGAGTCATCATCTTCGTCTTCTCCGATCACGGTGGAATCATGGACGTCTCCTACGGACGCAGCGAAACAGATAATCGGTAAAATAAATTTATCAAGACAAAAAAATTGCAACCCCAAGTGAGGCCCCCTCCTGGTCCGAGGCCCCCGGCAACCGCTGTGTCCGCCGTTAGGGACATACGGCCCTGATTGAACTTCATGTTGATTAAATAACTGGTAACAACTTAAACATGAGGATGAAATGTCTATAGCTCTACAATATTCAAAGGTTATGTACAAACTTGTGGTCTGTACTACTAGTGTGAGGCTCACTTAAAATATATTGTCTAAAGACAGGTCCAATTAATCCAGGCTTTACACTAAAACTGACATGCATTCTTTACCATTCTTAGTTGTTGCGTTTGATGTTTTCAGATGGTCATTTCCTGTTTAATGGATGATATCTCGGATGGATCTCTCCGATTGGAGAAGTCTTCACTGGAGCAAATTCTTCCATACACTGAGAGGCATTTCAAGCGTATGACACAGCTGATGCAAGATCTTCACCTTCTACAATACACAGCTGCTCTTATGAAACCTCATTCATAGATAGTTTCATTGTAAATAAATTTTATACTATTTTTACTGTGTATTTTAATTTTTGTTCCTGAGTACCTGTGCTAAAACTTCCAACAGAAAACCAGTACGGTAATACTTTTTTAACTACTGTATATTGATTGCTAATAATTGCCTGAAACGGATGAAACCCCCGTATAATGTTTGTAAGAAAGTAAAAATATGTTTTTGCCACACTACTCTGTTTTAACCACTGAGCAGAGATACAACTGGAGGTCTGCAGATAGCACTAAATGAGAAAATTAGCAAGACGTTGGCCGCCATTTGCACTATGGGATGAAGTACTTTGTACCTAGTTAATTTGAACTAGGGGACAGAGAATTGTGGTATTGTACATTCATAAAGCCATGAGTCAATGAGCTGATTTAACTAGCTGGTACTAACATAACAAAATTTTACAGTATCTCAATTTACTAGCAGAGTTGCTGAGCCATTGCTGCATCCAGTTGTATTTCTAGCTTTATAAGAATAAGAAAATATGTTCACATCATGCTACACAGAAACAGGTACTTTTCCATCCATATTGATAGGCTGGAAAGTTGCCCTTTGCTGTGCCTACACACGGAAAAGTAACGTAATTTAAATTTAAACCGCCCACAATAAATTTACCGTGGTAACAAGCTTTTACCGTGCACTTAGTTAGCTGATGAAATAAACAGCTAATTGCAACGGCCTATTTTACTTTATGAAATATAAAAATATTATAATTTATGTTATGTCCTATATAAATTGTGTTATGAGTTTAAGATGTACTAATTTTTCTACGTAGTATGATGTAAAGTATCGTACGTTACTCGCCCAGTAAGCTTTGCCGTGCAAACACCACTTACCGGGCTAGTAACGTAATATACCTACTATTAGCTGACCGGTCTTTTAATTAGCCTTTTCAATTCTACTTCTAGAAACACACAGCACTAATTGTGTTCAAGAATTGAGTGAAAATAAGTTAAATTTTAATGCTTGGAACACCAAGTTTATATCAGCCGGTTACAACCAATTCAATTTTTGATCTGACTTCCTCTGTAACTGCCATCATAATAAATAGAAATTTCACTTGAACCTAAATAATAAAAGTCCAAAATAGTTGTAAATAAGACTTGAGTTTTCTTTGTATTGCTTTTTACAATCGTAAAAAGCTATACCGAGCCATGGCTATCAGATACTAATCGATCAATATCGACTAGTAATAAAATAGTAGTATTACACTGTAAGTAAAAGTAGGTATCACCCATCTATATATTTAATACACAGTTGTAACACTGTTTTCTCAGTAATTACTGGACCGATCTACAAGATTTATGTCTCAAAAAAGGGGATAGTGTGTAGATTTGCCGAACTTCCTTAGAATTAACGTTTTTCCTAAGGGCTACGACCTACAGCCCTTTAAAGGTCGAGTCAATACAATTCTTATTGAAGAATATAATACACAGTTTATAAATTATTCGTCAGCTGTTTAATGTTTGTCAAACATTTGTTATTATTTTTATAACCTCACTTTCAGTATGCAATTATTAAACTTGGAGTTTCTGTTTATAAACACACGATTTTGATCAAGGAAAGTGTATTGGTTAACTTATTTTTGAAATGTTTTAGTTTTCCTGCAAAGTGATCTGAAGGAAAGTGGTAATTAAGTTTAAGTTTGATCAATATAATTTATTCTCTATAGCCACCAGAACAATCATAGGGAAATCCGCTTGCAAGTTGTACAGATAATTGCTAATGATTGGTAAACATACAAACATTTTATCGTAAGTGATTAATCTTACTCAAGATCAGTGTTCGACGTCCACATTTTACCTTCTCGAGATGGAGAGTACGCTGGGATATTTGGAACTACAATTGAGGCGTCGAGAGGCCAAGGGAGATATGTGACTTTTTAAAAAATGTCATTGTATTTTTTTCATGGTCATAAAAAAATAAATAAAAATAAAAATAAATTCACTTATACCCCTTGGCTTCCAACTCTTAGGTGTTTAGTTTGGAGGCCAAGGGATATAAGTGAATTATTTGTTGAAATTCCACCCTTTTTTAACAAAACCCGTTACCATGACAACATTTTTTTAAAAGTCACATATCTCCCTTGGCCTCTCGACGCCTCAATTTATCAGTGAACTTTACCCTAACTATATTTTTTCGAGTAGGCCTACACACTATTTTTTTAGGAAGTCCCTTCTAAAAAATACCAATTTTTTTAATTGGGGTCGTTAGATTGGATTTTTCAGTACTGCAAATCTATGAATTTTTAGTCAGAACAGACTAACTGGGACACAAATATTTTTTCCTTATGTTGTCACAAGGGGAAGGTAAAATGAACTCCTTATCAACATTTTGAGTTTATGGAAAATCTTATCAACAGCGTCTATAAAAAAAAGTATTAAGGGTCAAAGGAGACAAAAAACTATTTGAGTAAAATATAATACAAATCTGCATTTGAAATGGCCAGTTCTAAGTCTCACTTGAATCAACATCTTTCTGGTAGTGGTAGTCTCCATAGTTTTAAAATCCACGACTCCTTTTCCATCAAATTGGACCGTTAATACCCTCTAACATTGAACAAAGTAGGCCTATGCCCAACTTTATATATACTACGTAAACACAGCTTTTACTCACAGTATGGGTCAAAGATTCGTGAAATACGACCAACTGCTGATGCGTGATTTACATGTAGGCTAAGTGACTATCTTTATTCCATACAACAAATGTAATGAAAAAAAAAGACGAATATAGGAATATACTTGAGCAAATTATCTAAATAGCATAAATAGCTGCTTATTAGGTTATCAGCATTGCCCAGTTCGTATACTATTTATTTTCAAATGAAACTCGAATTAATATAAAACATTCATTTGGTTAAAATAATATATCGGTTTCATTAACATAAAATAGTTTATACAGGCAAACTATCAGTTCTATGTCATGTAAAAAATTAAACAACCCCTAAATAAAATACAAAGATAAACAATATTTGTTAATTATTATTTCTTTTATTGCTGACAATATTCCCGTGGCAGAGCACGGGCGGTTAACTAGTATTTAATACTACTGAAGTACTTTTAATACTAATCGCTTAACAAAGACATACGTAACGACATGTTTTGCCTTTTTGTTGAGGTGCGTAGAATCTACATAGTGGTCAATGTTTTAGCGAATTTCCCTATTAGGTAAGTAGGTGGCACGGTAAGACCTAAATCCGGGACCCACTTTTTTATTTTGATGTCCCTAAAGGCCAAAAACACTATTCATACAAAAATGTTATATGTGTATATATAATATATATATGTATATATACGTTCGATAACTCAAGTAAATTTTTGTCCGATTTTAAAGAAAATAACAAGCAAACTGCAACAGTTTGCTTGTTATATTTTGATCAAACTTGGTAAATTTATTTATTTTACACTAAGCTATTAACACTTCAGAAAAACCCTTCTTATTCCCTCCCTGTAGCAGCAAACCTAGGCATTGGTTAAAACTAAATGTTATTTATAATATGTAAATGGATTTAATTCAAAATCCAATCAGGTAAATGGAGATTCGCTTAGTCTCCAGGTTTGCTGTGGTGGGGATATTTACTCATCTCATGGATAAACATTTTTAGACTATCTTTCACAGTGAGAAGAAGAAGATGAGACTGTCTGCTCTGCACAATTTTTATTTCAGCTGCAGTTATTTTAATAAGAACAAAATGAGAGCATCCTATTGGCTGAGGGAACACCATTAGCGCAATGAAACGAGTTTAAGCCATCGGCTTCGGTGGTCTAGTGGATAGCGTGCTGGTCTACTAAACTTATGGTACCGGGTTCGAAACCCGTCAGGTGCACAAACTTTTTGTCTAAGATTTTTGCATTATCAGCAAGTTTGGTTAGTTTTGTTAGGTTATAACAGTTAAGTTTTATAATTAAAACCTTATAAAATTGAATTTGAGCTATTTGTAGTTTTATTTTATGAACAGAACTATTTTTTCGATTAGTAAACCTTCATTCAATTTTTTCATTATCAGCAAGTTTGGTTAGTTTGGTTAGGTTATGACTGTTTAATTTTAAAAAATTAAAAAATATAAAATTTAATTTGAGGCGTTTATAGTTTTATTTTATGAACAGAACTATTTTTTCGATTAGTAAACCATTATTCAATTTTTTTATTATCAGCAAGTTTGGTTAGTTAGGTTAGGTTATGACAGTTTAATTAAAAATTAATTATATATTTTTTTAGTTTACGGCCTATAATAATTTTTTTTTTAATTTCTAATTTTTAAACTCTTATTTTGTCCGTATTAAAAAACTGCAGCTGAAATAAAAATCGTGCGTCTGCTCTTGTGCTGCTGTATCACTTGTCAGTGTCAGCTGTCGCTTGTTTGTTTATGTCAGTTCCATAACCAAAACGAAACGTGAAATTCTCAAATTCACCCAGATTTGTTTTACTTCATTTACAAATTTTTACAGTTAAGAATTGCTGTTATTTTACAGTTTATAAGTTTAGAATTACAGTTTGGATAACTTAAGTTATTCAGTCTTAAATTGTTATGCTAAAGGCAAATAAAAGGGTTCTTTGTGTTGGAGTTGTGTGTGTTGACAGCATTCAAGTTTGCAAAGACTTTCCACTAGAAGATTCAGACGAAAGGTGCCTTTTTTGTTGAAAAATAGTGTTGGGGTCAATAGTTTGAGATTTAAAATATGTGCATAACACTTCCATTTATTAACTGTGCAAGTAATTATTATTGTGTTAACTTTTAGGCATATATTCAGAGTTTATGTTCATTTTAAATTTCAAGCTAAACACTCTGTTGTTTTGATTACCCTATGGGTTATTTTTTCTATCTATAACCATCTAAGCATTCAAGGGAACTAACTTTTTTTATTCAAATTAATTTAAAAACCTATCAAAATAAACCATTAGAAAATTTAGGCCTAACTTATATAGGCCTAGGCCTATAGAAAATGCTACCAAATTTTTACTCAAATTAACTTTAGGCTAATCAATTTACTTTTTGTTGACAAACTAGCTTATAGTTTTAAGGAAATTGCATGGGAAACACTGGCTGGTTATTGCTCAAGAATTAAAAATAGGACGTAATCTTTTATCAAACGTATCATCAATCATCAGTGTTGATACTTATCCTAATTGCCGTAATTCAACCAACATTAATACAAAATGAACTTTAAAAAACCATTAAAATTGATAGCATACCGTACGTCTAATTATAGGTAGGCCTAGATCTAAACAATTCAATACTAAGTTAAAGTTAATTTGTAATTTTTAGCTAATAACTAATCTTTAAAACACTTAAGTTAACTAGCTTATTCTTTGTTTTCAGAAGTATTGATCATAGATGGCAGAGAGGAGGAAATGCTTCCAACAACTGCACTGTATTGGCTCGGTGCGGCCAAGCATGCGAGTTCATTGGTACCATGAGCGACGACCTTATGGCTAAGTAATTAGTTCATTGTATTAATTTTCAACACAGTTGTAATGTATTAAAATGGGGTAGGGCCCACAGGCGAGTGCAAGGGGGTACACTTGCACTCCCTGCCTAAACAAATTAGGAAATAAATGTAAAACGGTAGCTAGAGTATTCTCTAATTACTTTTATTAATTATACATTTATAAAAGTACATTACATAATGGTCGTTACAAACATTTGTTTTAAAACATCATATTTTCAAAAAGTTTCCAGTTTTGAACCATAAAAAAAAACTTTTTTCTCATCCACCGGCAACCCCTTGTTTCTCAGGCTCAGGCAAGCACTCTTTAACCACTCAGCTAACCTGACTGATAATGATAATGATAATGATTTATTTCCTGAAAGCATTAATATGTACAAGGAAACGTCAACACATCAAAATCTTAGCCTAAGCCTGCAACACACCATGCAGAGAATTGAAAAACAAAAACAAAACTTATTTATCATCACTCATTGACTAAAAAAATCTTACTTGGCCAGGTGAAATAAAAAAGAACTCTTTGAATGAGTAAATCAGATTTGCCAACAGGAGAGATTCTATCCCCTTTTTGAATTTTGCTTCCGGCAGATTCCAAGCTGTACAAGGGAGTTTGTTAAAAAACTTATATCTCTGTATACAATAGCTAGACCTTCCTTAATGTAACATAGGGTACATTCAAGTCGTCCTTCCTCCTAATTGTGAGGGTGGATATCACTTCGGAGTTTGAGAGAGCCTGACTCCTGCTTAGTACACAGAAGAGATTGGTAAATATATTTAAACTAGGTGAAACCCGTTGAAATCGACGGTTACTTTCAAGGCTTACGCTAATTCATCTAACTGCGATAAATTGAGTAAAATTATACATATTTTGAGCATTTAACATTGTTTAAAGAGTAAATAAGTGTAAAAACAATAATGATATTAATTGCGTTAGTTACCAAATATGGTTGATCATTCAACGAATAAAATATTTCCCATACTTTGGAAGAACCTTTAAACAGTATTAAAATCGTATTGGTGGATCTTTTTTAGTTAAAAACTTCCCCGATTTCATCAGTGTAATAAGGATTAATCTATGATTTTATTTGAGAGAAAATATCTGCTTGTTGAGGAGACACGTTCTAACTTGAAAGGGAGGTCCTCACAGTGTAAGTTTGATTTTTCCTTCGACACGTCGCATCAGTTCATATCGTACTTCTGTGCCAATGAATTACCCTCTAGTATAGTTTTAAGAAATTGGTTGTGGGGATATCGTACTTCTGTGCCAATGAATTACCCTCTAGAATAGTTTTGAGAAATCGGTTGTGGGTTTAATGTTAAAGCTAAAAGACACTTCTGCACTTGTATTATTTTGTATTGTATTACACAATCGAAGATTTTTCCAATGATTGAAAACATGTATGACAATAATCTCACGAACCTATGATGATCTGTCTAGAATAATATGATAAAATATAGCCAAAAGTGGTGAAAAAGGCAGATACCAACCCGTACAATAGATATAAGATAGTTCAATAAGAAATTAATGTTAAATGAGAGTTACTGTGATAAAAGGATATTCTACCGATTTCGTAATGGAACGTTATATTGCAAAATATGACATGATACAGAAGGAAATCAATTTTAAAATCAGAAAATAACATTGCAAATACTTCTTTTGGACAATTCAGTAACTCCCAATAAATATGTGTTGTTTAAAATACAATTCAAAAATTAACAGCTGTTTCAGTAAAAAGTATTATCCACATGGACAAAATGTAAACAAATCTGTGGAGGGATCTTTAAGGGCTTCTGGGGCAGAGCCCTAACAGGATTCACTTAGTTTTTCTTTTGGTAACTCATCTAGAGACCAAGACCTTTCTTTGGACACCTCTACCAAGTTTCTACGTCCAGTCGTTCTCTCAAATTAATGGAGACAAAGTTTCCAATTAAATATTTAGATTCCCCCATGTTAATCTTATGGGAGAAAATCCAACTTTGATGGAATATCCTGTCCAAACTAATAAAGATTTCAAAAAACGAAAAAGACTTTGCAAAACTACAGATCAGGGCAATTCATTTGACACTTTAATCATCAAAATCGGTCCAAAAATGAGGGAGGAGTTCTGTTTACAAAAATCGGCTTAGCGTATTATATATATAGACTATACACTGTCATAACGGATTCAGAAATAAAGATAGATTTGCAGGTCTATATGCAGAACTGTATCCTTAAAGCTATGAAATATAATATAGCCAAGTTAGTCCTCCATTTTAATGCCCTGTTAGGTACTTAAATACTCAAACAAACTTTAATTTAAGGCAGGCAAACAACATTCATTTTGAAGTTAATAGTTTCATTAAAAATATAGTACAATCTTTTGACTGACGTCATAATTATTTCAGATTTGCCAAACAAGATTTTGAGAAAGAGAACATAATAATTGAAAATGTTGTGAAACACAATATCTATGAAACTCCATTTTCTTCTGTCATTATTAACTCCAAAAACGGCTCACGAACAATTATTCATTCAAATAAAGGAATGCCAGAATTGACATTGGAGGATTTTAAGAAAATAGATACAAACCAATATCATTGGATTCATTTTCAGGTAAATTTTTAATGGGAACTATTTCATATGTTGAGTTATGATTTTATTTTTATTTTCAAAAAGTTAATGACAAAGCAAAAGAACTCCCCCAATTAAATGATCTAATATTACTAATCAAAGAAATTTAAATATACATAGGCTAAGTGTTTTTATGCAACGTGTTTTAGAAAATATTGTAATTAGATTTTTTATAGTAATGTGTATAATCATATATTATCATCATTTTAGTTTTGAGAATGTTATTGTTGTTATAGAGTAAATTAGTTTTACCTACGACCATTCTTAGAATCGAAAATTTTGACATAACAACATTGTTTACTTTCATAACAGCATAGTTGTACTCATAACAACACGGTTAACAGACCAATGAGGTTCAAGGTTCAAGGATTGAGAGAGAAGAACTAAAATTGTAATGATTCAAACTTCAACTAATCAGCTGTTCAGGCCAATTTAATTATTGAGAGGTGTAATTAGTTTTTTGTTTCCTTGCATCACTGTCAGTGGCAATGAGAGGTTATAAACGAAATCATAACCTCTCTTAGAAGTTATGAGTAGTGATTTTTTAGTAATTAAAACACTGTTTTAGGTAAAGTAGTGCAACTTGCGTAATTAGTGTTAAGGTGAGTGCCTTTAAAACTTCTTGGAGTGTTGTTAACACTATCTTTACGCGATCATTGCGTAAACTACTTTTAAATGTTACACTGTTATCAAAACAAAAACCTTACATCTCCACTTATATTATCCAAAACTTAAATTCAATTGCTTAGACATTATATTAAATTGTTATTGTAGTAATTAAACTTGTTATAACATTTTTTTAAAGTGGAATTACAGTTTTTAAAAATAGAACTGTAAATCTAAAATATATTTTACAATTTGCTCAATTTTTATTTTTTAGGGTCGGAATGTCAGTGAAGTGAGCAAGATGTTGGCACATTTAAAACAGCGGAACACAAAATATCCAGGTGTAACTACTTCTGTTGAGTTAGAAAAAGCCAGAGAAGAGCTGAAACTGTTGCTACCTCTTGCAGATGTAGTTTTCATCGGTAAAGACTTTGCCAAGTTCCAGGGCTGCAAGGATGGGTTTGATGCCCTCCAGAGGAACATTGGCTTGGTAAAAATGGGGTAAGTTTGTTTACCTAAGCAAGCGGTTCTTTTTAATTTCATCTTAATTTTCTGAAGTAAGAAAACGTAAATTCCATTGTTCCATCTTCCAATGGTAAAGGCAGTTAATTATATTTCACTAGAAGCTCAAGAGTGTGTATATATAAAACACTTTTGTTCATATATTTAATTGAGCTGCATAAAACTATTGATCAATACTTTTAATCACCTTTTACCACAGTGCTGTAGATTTGTAATCCCATAGAACTTAATTAGTAGTACTATTTTATATTCTAAGGGTTAATTTGTCCACCAACTAGAAGAATAACTCAAGGTTCTTAAAATCTTACAACTAACTATGTAGGTGAACAAATTATCTCCTTGCGTTGGGGATTAATTTTTGTTTACATATAAACATATTAAGTAAAACCACTGACTATTGGATACTTGTATTAATAGTCAAAGGTGAAACCTAAATAGTCAATATCTGAAGTTAACCCTTTGACGCAGGCATTTTTGATGACTTCTTTAACAATTTATTTTTTAGGTTATTTCGTTTTATGTGCTATGGCAAATGTGTTTCAACACGATTGTCCATATATAACCAAAATAAAATAAGGTAAAATCGGTGTTCTCCTCTATAAAAGGGATTTTTTACACTCCCTTGAAAAAAAAAGAATATTTATTCTTTAGTAGCTTAAATAGTGGACTGGGACGGTGGAGTCGTATCCTGTAATCCAGCTACTAGGTCACGAATTGTGTATATTTATAGGTATGTAAGTTACTGTGGATGCGATGCTCCCTGGTGTGGATTAACGTCCGCACTAGTGAGTACTATGACTATCCGCAGTACTATCCTGATTATTAGACCAATTCGTTAATTAAGGAAAAATGTGGTTCGGATTCCACTACAGGAAGTGTAGGTCCCTTAGTTGCCATTCGCTGTATGTGCTATTAATTAACAGCTGTGCCTAAGGAATATGTCAGCCTTAGTAAATTGTGATATACAATGGAAACTAATAAACTCTATTCTTGTAGTGCCACGGTGGTGGTGGCGTGGGGAGAGAGTGGCGCAGTGGCTGGCACTACAGATGGCACCGTAGTGGAATCTGCGGCATTTCTCAGCAGCTCAGTCGTAGATACTCTTGGCGCTGGAGACACATTTGTGGCTGCTACAATACTCTGTCTGTCTCAAGGTCAGGACAATACATTTTTCATCACTCCGTAACGAAAGTAACTATTTTCGATAACAGCTGGCTTCAATGAAAGTAGTCGTTTCCCAAGCTCTAGTTTAGGGCGAGGAAAATCGATCAGCTGATTTTCCCTCGCTCTCAATTAGTTCTCCATTTATTCACTACACGCGCTAGTGTTTTGTTACGGTTTAATTTAATGATTTGAATCAGCTGTATGTATTGTTCAAAGTTGTTTTATTCTTTTATTTTGATATTTAAACAAAATGTGTTGAGAAATATACGTAGGTTTCCTTTTAGAAAATTTAATTTAATTTTATTTTGATGTCCAATCAAATTAATTGAGAAATAAAATAGTTGTAATATTACTGAGGTCTGCTATTCTGTGTTTGTGTATTTTTGCGTCGTGATGAAAAGTATCGTTCATAACTCGTACCGAAAGTTATAATCCGGCACTTGCTCCATTATTCCCGTCCTCGGCTTCGCCTCGTACGTGAAAATAGCTCTCACATACTCGGCTTCGCCTCGCCCGTGAAATTGATGTTCACTGTGTGAGGCGAAGCCTCACACAAAAACTTGAGCGTGCGACGGAAAATGCCACTTTCGGTCCTAGTAATGAAATATACTATTTATTGTACATAGCTATTTTATCTTTTATTTTCGTTAAAAAAATTATAATAATATTAGCGAATTTCTTATATAGGGAATAAGCTATTACCATAAGTCTAATGGTAAGACATAGACCCAGGACCAATTTACTTTTTCGTTTTGAAGTCCCCAGAGGCCAAAAACCCCCTCTGTTCAAATTCATACGTATATGTAGGCTATGTGTCTGTTAGCGTGATAACTAGAGCAAATATGATCAGATTTTGATTAAATTTGGTACAAAAGTTTAAACCTACGTTTATTTGAACCAGCATGATTGGACATGGGGAACAGGGGTTTATATGGGGTAAAAATTGGTTTTTCCCATTTTTGACTCTGAAATATATCCTATTACTAAAATCAAAAGTCAATTTAAATGATTCTTTTACTTACGTTCAATAACAAGGGAGTTAAAAGTGGTTTTCTGATTAACGTTTTTCGCAACTTTGCGCCCCCACCCCTATGTTGTCGACCACCCCTGGAGGCGACGACATGGGTTTTTACATTCACCTAGGTCCCCATTACCAAAATCAAAAGTCAAAATCTCTGACTCTTTTCATGCATACTCAACTGCACCTAGCACCTCGCCTAAAAGGGTCAGCGTAATGCTAATGTTTGCATACTTGTTATTATTAAGTGTGTTAAAAGTTCAAATAAAAAAACAGGATTAACATACATAGAAATCAAAGAGGTGAGATCGTCTATGTGTAATCCTTATATTTGAAGCGTCTTTAGATCAATGGATGCAACATGCATAGCGTAACATTGTGGGCCTTGTATTAAAGGAGGCTATGATAGAATACAGTGCCATATTAATTAATTTGTTGAACAGAAAAATGTGCTTTACCCAAGACGGGTTTTTAAAGTAGCTGTTTCAGTTCAGTTAAGAATTGAAAAGTGTCCCCCTTAACAGCATTGTTTAATTTCATAACAACACAGGTAACGGACCAATGAGGTTCAAGGATTGAGAGAGAAAAAGTAAAATTGTAATGATTCAAACTTCAACTAATTAGCTGTTCAGACCAATTTAATTGTTGAGTGGTGCAATTAATGTAAGGTATAATGTTTCGTTGCATCACTGTCAGTGGCAATGAGATGTTATAAAAGAAAACATAACCTCTCTTAGAAGATATAAGTAGTGATTTTTAGTAATTAACACATTGTGGTAGGTAAAGTAGTGTACGCAACTTGCGTAAATTGTGTTAACGACACTATCTTTACGCAATTATTGTGTAAACTACTATTAGGTTTCTTCTCTGATGTCAATGATTTATATGAAACCTCAAAGTCCTCTCAAAGTCCATATTTATGGTAGGCCTATTGATGTACTTTTAACTATGCCTGTACAGATACTGTTTATCAACTGATTCTTTCTGGGATTTTATTGTAAGTTTTGAAAATGCCTTTTGTATCTGTGTATATTTGATACCATATATTTACCATATATTTATTCTTAAAAATCAACCGTAATTTTTGTTTTTGAACAGGTAGGGGACTCAAGGAAAGCATCACTACAGGCTGTCGCGTTGCTGGGGCCAAAGTTACTAAAGCTGGCTTTTCAGCTGTGAATCCAAGTTTGATAAGTGACCATATGACTTAGAATTAATTTAATCAGATATCAGCTGTGATAGTAAATGCATTGTTGTGATAGGGGTTTCTTTCAGGTTTTAACTGTAGTAAGAATAGTTTTATAAGGGACACGTACATGTTTTGTTGATGACATGAAACTGTAAAGTTAAATGTATAATTGGCTGTTTTAAACAACACTGTTCTATTGTTGAACAAAAAGAAAATAATCAGCTGTCTTTTGTGCACATCTATGTATTTTTCTGCATTTTTGTTATTCCAAGAAGTAATATTAAACTATAATATTTTATTTTGCGCTAAAAATTGTATGATTTTGTACAAACTTGTTTAAAAATTTTAAACAACCAAACACAGTCCCTGTTCTGTAGTTGCAACTCTTTGTCAGCAAAAACAAAAGACCAAATAAAATGATTTTGTTGTAAACCACAAAACTTGGGAATAAACTGTGATATAGCTTTATCGAGTAATAAATTTATATGAAGTTCTGGGTTACTATTTCATATCCTTGATTTGTTAGTTTCTTTGTTTTATGTTATATTTTGTGGATACTGCATGAAAAGCATGACCCAAATACTGGTTTCCTTGTAACAAAAATATTGCAGGAACATAAAAATATTCAGTTGAATTTATCCTAATTGAACTATTAGCGATTGAAGAGGTAATTAACTAAAAATCAACCAGGCATACAGTTTGGGATGATTGTTTTAAAAGTTCCCAACATCAACATGGACATAGAACTCATACTTTACTGGCTTAAGTAAGAGTCTTGGAGCCTAGCCTTTAAAATAATTACAAAACTTCAAAGACCATTTCTAATCTCATATTGCCCTGGATATGTAAATTACGATCACTTTGGTATTTGCAAAAATGTTTGATATAAACATTGTTCTTATGGCGACCGCGTGCAAATCCAAGATGGCCGTTAGCCTCCAAGGACTGCCTTTAAAAGCAATTACAAAACTACAAAGAAAATTTATAATGTCATAATGCCCTAGATATTATTTATATTACAATTACTTTAGAATGAAAAAATTGGATTATAAATAACCCTTAAGCAGCTATTTGAAATAGTTCAAGATGGTCGCTAGCCTCCAAGGACTCTTAACAGTTGATGTTCAAGGCAAGAGTTTATGCCAAGGGGAGACATATAACATTGATTTTTTACCTTTAATTCAGTCAATAATCATTAAAAAAATATTTTGACTAAAAAATGTTGAATCAGCTCCAAATGAAAGGCTTAAAGCCATAAACTAAGGTTAAGGTATGAATAACAATTCTTGTGGACAGTATATAAATTTATGACTATAATAGGTAACATTGAAAATGACACAAGTTACAAAAACACAGAGACATTTGAAAGCAATACATTACGACAATAGCTACAAATTATTTTTACTACAGTTCTTAAACTACTAATAAAATATAAAGCCATTATGTCTTTGAAAATTGTCAAATCTTTACATTTACCACTAATGTAACACAAGGAAAATCTTTAAGTCTTAATTTCATACATTACAGTCTATTTACTACTTTTACAAATCCCTGTATACAAATTCTAAACAAGTATGTTCTTAACGCTTTCAATGTTTAAATACTTTTTCCTAAGCTCAGATATGTTGAAATAAGTTACAACATGATCAGGACACAGATTCAGTCATTTTGTTTGTGTGTTGTAAAATTACATGGACGACGGACATTCATACTTAAAGCTATTAGGATTGAAATCAGAGTAATTACGTCAATAAATAAATGAAAAATATGTGAGGTCAGTGAAAAGAGTATTGCATTTTACACCTACCACACTCATTCCATTCATGCAAAATCGGTAAAAACTTTCACAAACAGCACATACATATTTGTTTTGATTTGAATTCTTAATATTCAGTCTGTTTAGTCATGTTTTGTTGATGTAGCTCTCCTCCAGCGCTAGGAAAGTCTTTGTGGTACTTTCATCATTTTGGATTGTATTGTTGGCGTTATTGTCACCTCTCCTCATCTTCGACGTCATTGTTACTTCTCGGTGAACAAGGCCTAAGAAACTCCTGCCCTCTCTCGTGCAGCCATTTGTTGGACACTAAAAGATAGAATTGATTATTAAAAAATCTTTGTAGTATTGTAGTTGTTTCTAATGTAGGCTATATAAAGGAAAGTAAACTTTTTTTGAGGTGTTTCTTCTTTAACCCCTTAACTGCCACGCACAAGATATGCCGGGCGATACTAGTTTTCAGAGCAACCGCCACGTACGAGTTATCTCGTGTTGACGTAATCAGCTGTTGTGTTTTATTTTTAACAGCTCACTTCCCGCCTTATCTCTGATATACGTACGTAAACAAGTTGTTGACAGTGCTGCTTGACTAGTGCTGCAATCTGGTGGATTTTAGTGGTATTATAGGTCAGTAATGGTCCCGATCAGTTCCGTTCGTAGTTTCAGTAAAACTCGTGCTTGCGGAAGCTTACGTAATGCTTACGTACATTATGCGTGTCATTATAATTGTGATTTTTGGTGGTTATTTACTTGGTAGTGTTGAATGAGTAGTAAATATTAGTCGTAATGGCTGGTGATATGCTTGAGGATGACGATTTATTAGAGTTGTAGACTTTATTGTAGGCCTAATTTTTATTATAGGCCTAACTCAAGAAACCCCCAAACCCCCCCCCAATCTCAAATTTTAGTATTGTTAAAGCTTAATGTTTTTGAAGATGTCTACAAACAATATTGATAACTATTTTCTTTAAAAAAAAAACAACTGGTACAATTTTTTAAATCACAAGTAAAAATCGTCAAAAAACGGCAAAAATAAGTGGCAATGGCGGATTTTAACTAGGCTACTTAGACGGCGGTTAAGGGGTTAATTAAATTTTTTTGACTGGGGATGTTGGTATGATTCGTGTTGAATAGCTGATCCAAAATTTGGTCTGACCACAACACCAGTGACTGTTTATTGTGTGTGAATGTTTTGCAAATATTAAATAAACTAATGTTAATGGTGTAGGAAAATGATAAAAGGAGACCTCTGAAGATGTCTCGCTGTTGAAATGTATACATGATGATAAACTACTACCTACTACATTAAGAACACAGGCAACAAATATTGTAATAAGTAATACAAAACCAATAATTACAACCAATAATGTTCTAAATACCTCTAATTATTTACAACCAAGAAAAAAGTACGAATGCATCTTACAATGTCCTTGAAAGAAGAATGTCATTTGTTAACATCACAATGGAAAAAACTACTTCAGCCCCACAATGAATGTATTTAAAACACCAAATGTTCCTTCAGGGCGACAACCAATTTATTCATAAAAACTTTACTTTCAACCTTAGGGATGAACAAAATCAATTCAGCCGGTAACTTACACATGTAATAAAAACATCCTTTTTGATACAGTACAGTCAAACCTCACTAACTCCACTATTTGTGGACTTGGGGGGCTGTCCGGTTGTCCAGAACATTGAATTATTTAATGGGTTTTAAGTTTTAATAAATAAATCCATAACAGACATTTTTTTACATAAGTTTATTACTTACATGATTTTCACATATTGAGAAAACAATCTTCATAAAAAAAAAATTGAATTTAAATTAAAACTAAATGTTCTAGAAACTTCTGCTTATTTTTATGAGTCTGTCAGCAGTTGACTGACAAGTTAGTGAGGTTCTACTGTGCATCAAAAAACTTATTTATAGGTAGTTATAAATTTCAAACAAATCCTCTAACTTCTTAAGTTTAATCTTTTACGGGTGTACCTGCTGGATCAAAACCAAATGTATACTCACCCCACTTGGTGCCGGCCAGGACGGGACAGGCTGCATGTCGTGTCCGCAAGTCTCCGTCCCCGTTGGAGTGAAGGTTCATCCAGAACGCAGCCGTCCCCTTCTCTGGCCACAGCGACAGACGCAACTCCGGAAATACTGTGGCACCTCCCTGCTCCACCTCGCTCATCTGTCAATATCAGTTGTTGTCAAATATCAGCAATATCACTGACTTTGGATACTGACATGGACATCCCATTCATTTCCCAGCATTCATGCATTCATGGACCAGCCATTGCCAAAGTTTTATCTTCAAAGATCATAGTTGAAAGAGACACTCACAGAGTATACGGTAAAAATCCTCTTTCCACCCTTGGTTTTTTCTGTGGTAACTGATGTTACACTAAATATGCTATGATTTACACAAGTTGTGACTTTGGTTTGGTTTAAGAGTGTTTTTATCATTTACATAAGTGCACTTCGACGGTTCGATCCTGAGAAAAGTCAGTAGCTTTTTAATGGTTTGAAACTGGGCCCAGCTGTTCCTGATCATTGGGCTTTAAATAAAACGAGAGGTCGTCCAGTGGTCGAAACTCGACCAAAAATATGTAATGTACTAGCTTCTCTATTTTCACCCCACACTGTAAATAAAACATGTGATTCTAATTTGTTCCATTTGTTTTGATTTTCTGTTTATATTTCGTTGTTTTTTCGTCACCAGCATGGCAACGCATAAGATCCATGTTATTTTTTTCAAATTTTTAAACTCATTTTTTGTGCTTATCTTTGAGCCTATTTAAATGTATGTAAAATTGCTTTCTAACGGTATGCGCAGATTTACCCCACGATGCACACAAGCTGAGAAAAAAGGTTTTAATGAAACATGTCTGCCTATTAATATATAGATGATCCTGACTTATGAAACAGCTGATCTTAGTCAGTAACAAAGCTACACAGATCATCACACACCATTCTACACTCATCCTTCACTCATATTTGAGGTTAAAATACACACCTTGGTTGCGTCCCCATCTCAGTGATTGATAATTGATAATTGACTTATGACAGTGTCTGATTCTATATATTAATAGGCAAGCATGTTTCTTTAAAACCTTTTTTCGAGAAAATAGAGAAGCCCATGGTGGAAGGAAAAAAATAAGTGTGATATTCCCGTCATATGCTGACGTCACCCAGATTGCAAACGCCATTTCACTTGTCACCCAAGATTGCAAACGCCATTTCACTTGTCACCCAGATTGCAAATGCCATTTCACTATTTAGAAAAAAATAAAAAGCAATAACAATAATATCAAAACAATCCTATTCTTATATGACAGTTACAATCAGGTGAGTTTCTATTTGCAATCTGAGTCACGTTATCCTATGACGGGAGTATCAAACCTATGTTTTTTCCTTCCACCATATTACAATTATCAATTATCAATTATCAATCATTGAGATGGGGACGCCACCTAGGTGCGTATTTTAACCCAAATATGAGTGAAGGATGAGTGTAGAATGGTGTGTGATGACCTGTGTAGCTTTGTTACTGACTAAGATCAGCGGTTTCATTAGTCAGGATCATTTATTTAAAGCCCAATGATCAGGAACAGCTGGGTCCAGTTTCGAACCATCGAAAAGCTACTGACTTTTCTCAGGATCGAACCGGCATATTTTTGGTCGAGTTTCGACCACTGGACGACCACTAGTTCGTTTTTATTTTACAGCTGGTTACAATTTTAACATATGTAATGTCTATTTCCATTCATAGTCTTTAAGCTCTCCTGTATTTAACTTGCTGTTGAGGTTTACGACTGCATCAAACAGTACAAATGATTAAAATGAACTTCTGACTTAACTAACATACATGTAGTAATCACTAATGGCGATCCCAGTTTGCACAATTTTGCATACCGTATACATTAAAAAGTTCTGTAAGAATCAGGTTTTAATTTAGTCATTTAATAAAATAATGTCACTTAGGTTAGTATTAGGATAAAATCTAAATTATATTGTTTTGGGGGACACCACCAGGGGCCTGCGAATTTGATACCCTTATTGCCCGAGAAAGGGTTTCCAGACACCCTGGAAAAATTCACTGTGCCTCCTTTTGCATCCTCACTGTTGTTACTATTAACTAATATTTATAGCTGAAACTTAGTAGGGTGACTATTTGTTTGGATTCTCATCAATAGAATTGGACATGTCCAATTAGGTAGGATTATATTAAATTCAAAATTTGTTCCAAATATATACGATTTTGAATAACGATGCTGGTGCCTCCATCGACCAAACCGCATATTGGTTTTTTCTACTGGTAACCATTATAAGACATTCCTTAAAGGTTTTTTTAGAACAAACTAAAATTGCCCGTTGTTGCACAAGACGAAAAATTGTGTTCCGTTCCCGTACCGGAAATGAGGAAGATAAGAAAAATCCCTTTCCAAATAAAACTACAATCTTGTTCATCTCCACTCATTAACATTATAGGATGGTACATACGTAAAACAGAACTGTTGCGATTCTGTTTCCTGTTCCCAGACTTTTGAATGCGTTCTTTTCTTCCCTCTGTAACATATCACAGAGTTGTTAATAACTATTACTAGGAGCAATATTTTAAATCTTGCAAGGCATTTTCTTAACATTCACTTATTATCGAAACATATTATGGGTATTATTTGTCAATATCAATCAAATACCTATAACTGAATACACATTTATGTGGTTTGAAATTCGAAGGAAATACTAAAAACTTAAATTTGTCACAAAAGAAAATTTCTACTTGCTTATTTATCTGCTCATCATTAACAATAGTTTTAAAAATCAACATATGCGCTTTTCTTTAATTCTTGCATACAATTTAAAGTTCCAGATATTAGTTCACGCCAGGCGAGTAGGCAGACAGGTATGCTGTTTGCCTGCTGGTCTCATGTAGACAAGCCTCAACAGACCAGAAAATGCAGATTGGCCACTATATCTACTCTGAGAATTTACAAGTCAAGGCCTGAAACTTTATGCAATTATATAGAGGTGAGGAACAAGCTAAAAATGTCCTGATACTACATCTAGCCAGTGTTATCCACAAAATGTAGGGACCTGTTTAAGGCTAATTATTATAACATCAGTTATTTGCAGACGACAGTTACCCTGGCAAAGTCGTAGTGAGGCTCGTAGTGGCCGCCGATACCGTAGTTGACCACCTGTAGCTCCTCCGCAGTGGACGTGGTCAGACCCGTCATATCTTCTATCCTGCGACTCACACGAGCCACTGCCTCATCCTCCTGCTCCTTGAGCCAGGCAGACTTACTGCAGAGGAACATACATAAAATATCAACATGATTCAACACTGTTATTTAAGGGGGGATGTTATTAATCACCATTAGTAAAAAAATTGATGAGTAAATCATCTGTAAACTGATTCGGTCTTCAGGTGAGAACTCACCAAAAAAACATTATAAGTAAAAACCAGCCAAAAGCTCTGTCATTCCTTGAGCAGACATTATGATTGTCTGTTCTTACCTTGTATCAATTATCGTTTTTTGTTCCTTTTGTTGACTATTACTGTTACAGTTCTCTGTTTGGTTTTCCTTTAGGCATTTTTACAGCTTGATTTCTGTTCCTGTATTTTTATTTTTTGTGTGATAACTACTAAACAGTTCTCAGCTTGGCTTTCTTTTGTGATTTGGATTTCCAACAGGACTATTCTTGTTTTTTTTTGTGGTACTTTCTCAACTATATACTTATACTTTATACTTTTCAATCAAATGGCGACCATACAAAGTAATTAACGAATTGGTCTAATTATCAAATAGTACTGTGGATCGTCGTGGTACTCACTAGTGCAGATATTAATCCACACCAGGGTGTATATTATCCACGGTGCATGCCTATAAATATCCACAATTTGTGATCTACTAGTAGCTGGATTCCCCCACCGTCCCAGTCTTAACAGTTGTTAACTATTAACTTAAATTAATGTTAAAATACCTGTAACTGCCTCGTGATTCCTCTGTTCCTGTACTGGACTACGCGCGTTTCGATGTATTCACATCATCATCAGGTCACAAACTTGAAGAACTTAAACCATTCTTGAATTGGTCGCGTCAAAGTTTACAAAACAAACACCACCAGTCGAGACTCGGCACCCGTCATGTGCACACCAGTGTCTGTAGGCCTACAGTTTTTGTCCCTGTTTTTTAAATGTTTAAATGTTTTGTGTATTTTTTTGTAAACTTTGACGCGACCAATTCAAGAATGGTTTAAGTTCTTCAAGTTTGTGACCTGATGATGATGTGAATACATCGAAACGCGCGTAGTCCAGTACAGGAACAGAGGAATCACGAGGCAGTTACAGGTATTTTAACCTTTTTACAATGTTATTGTCAACGTGATTCGGAATAAACAACACAACATGAAGTAACTTAATGTTGTTACTATTAACAGTTGTTTTCAGGATGGACACAAGTTGGGTTCTGTGTTCAGAATACCTCAATGTTGCCCAATGGCGGGCCAAGGACTACCTCAGACAAATGTTTCGGCAATTAAAACTTTAGTTTTGGTTACATTGTCAAAATAATTTCTTTCACAAATAAAAGATGTTATTACCTTATCCTATAGTGAGCCACTTCCAGATCACCAGTTTTGTAGTTCTGCACCGTCGCTCTTCTGAGCTGAAAGAAAAAGGTAAACAAATAATTTCTGGAAAAGTACCTTTGTTTGCTAAGAAAAGCATTGTTAGATTTAACAAAGAAATATCAAGTCCTTAACTAGACTGGAGGTTCTATCAAAAGTAAAAAATTATACCAAAAATAAAAACAATTACCAAGTTATAATTGTTGTATGTAATATAAGAGTTTAGCTACCATACCTTGGAAGAGTATCGAGTCTAGAAGCTCGCACACTTATATGAAGATCACATTAGTTTCAATTGGTTGTCAAATGTGTTGGAGTTGTGTCCTGGTACAGAATTTTGTCAGTGGTTTAACTTCAGTTTAATGTAAAAAATATATTTTTGCAAACATTTCAAATATATTTACCCTTGGTTGAGCCATCCTCTTGAAAGTATCCATTTCTGAATCGTACAGTGCTTCCCTGTAAAGCAGTATTCTAGGGTCCAGATACGCTTCTTCTTCTTTCAATGGGGCAATCCTAGGAAAAATCAAATTTTAATTTATCATCATTACTTTCTGAATACTACAGTGTGAACAACTTAACTGTGCCACCATTAGTATCTCAGAAACTATTAGATTTAGAGAAAACGTCAAATGGAGAACTTCAACAACCTATTTTCTTATGACGTTGTAATGAAAAAAAAATACTAACTATACTTTTTTTAAATGTCTACCATTTTACCCAGTGTTGGGAAGTAGCGCGCTACAAGTAGCGACGCTACAGTAGCGCGCTACTTTTTTTGTAGCGTTAGCTGTAGCTACGCTACTATTAAGATTTTGTAGCTTTAGCTGTAGCTCGCTACATTTTTAAAGTAGTTGTAGCGGAATTTTAGCTACTTTTCTTGCTACATTAAGGCGGGTTACACACCGGTATCGCGGATATGATGTCGCCGATATTTCTGATGTCGCGGACATGATGTCTGCAACATGTTATAAAATGCAACCATGGGAAGAGGCACATGCTGGCGACATGAAAGTGAAGGAATCACAACATTCATCAGTTTAAATAATGTCATCGTCAGAAGAAGATGATATGTTGTTGCTGTTGTTCTTTCTACAAAACACTAAAGATAACTTCATGGTAATTTTTCCAAAATACATTGTAATTAATTGTATTGCAGTACTTACGTAATTTCCTTATGGTGTCAATTGAAGTATTATAATATCACAATACTACATTCCACACCATAAGGCAATAAAGTAAGTAAAAAAGCGCCAAAACTACTAGAAACGTGTTCTGCGCATGCGCGGGCCCAAGAGACATGAGACATGTCTGTCCAAACACCGACCGGTTGGTTCGCTCGAGACACGCGTCTGCGACACGAGTCGCGGGCAACATGTCTGCGACACTGGTGTGTAAAGCTCCATAAGATAACATAGGTTGGTTTTCGAGGGGCATGTCGCGGGCACGAAAAATATCGGCGACATCATATCCGCGATACCGGTGTGTAACCCGCCTAACATTGATTGAGATAGTGATTTTTATCACGTGAAACAACCTTTTTCAAACTGAGATTTTCAAGAAAATAAGGCCTACTTTCTTGGCTTTATACAGCTGGTCGCAGTCGTTTCATTACCTATTACAGTACAACGTTGCGTGGACATAGAGCCCGTTATCTGAGTGTTATCTACATTTTTGGCTCTCATTTCCTTAATTTGCTACTCTATGATTACTGTCAGATAAAATAAAATCGCTAGATGCAGACGACGTTCAAACGTTACCAGCGACAAGAGAATCTATTGAATGCTTGCAAGTGATTGACAGGGAAATTATATATAGTTATCAATTTAGTTTCTTTATTAATCGATAGTTTCAACTTGGGTTTTAATGGAAACCATCCCTAAACCTTAATAGCTTTATCAACCTTTGCTTCAGCTGTTGATTGTGGTTCACGATCACAAGCCCTTCCTTGGTTGCATTACGAAGATTTTTCAAATGTTTACTAAATTAAGAAAGAGGAAATAACCTGATGAGATTTAAGATATGCCTAGACTACATAATAATTGTAATAAAAAATTCTCCATATACTAACATGAAACTTACATTGAAAAAATAGCATAGTTTGCTCCTGCTAACAGCTCTTGTCAATGATTATTCCTAGGCTATTGGATTAATACGAATACAAAGTTCAATTAATAGGAATATTTCTGTTTAGTCCATGTAAGAACAAGCCAGCTTGTTACAAAGCCAAGTAGGCCTAAATGTTATTTTTGCTTAACAATTGTCAACATGTTTAAATTAAAAAGCCGAGTTCAGGATAGGATAAGTTACTGAATACTGTTTTCTGCACTAACGTTTGTTGAAGCACAATTTGACCTATGTATAATGACAAAGGACGATTTATTGACATTGAAAAGTGTTATTCATAGAACATAAAAGTTATAGCAATTTTGTTTTCAACATTAAAAATAAAGAATGACAATGAACTCCAATTTCAGTAGACAAGGCTCTGTTACAAAAAAGTAGGTACTTTTAAATAATGGTTTTACAGTTTTATTGTTTTTAATAGTTGATAAAAGCCATCTATAAATGAATGTACATTAAAGAAATAAAATGGGCTTTTAAAATATAGTTTGGTTGTATGTCCTTTGAACTTAATGAAATTTACATATACACTAAGATGCTTAAAAATAATGCAATATTCAAAAATAAGTACCGTAGGCTACTAAACATGATGGAACACCCAACTAACTTATTTTGGTTGTGTTGTTTTAATGTTAGGTTTATGTAGTTGCAATTAATTTACATTTACCTAATGTGCGTGGAATAAAAGTAACGTATTTGGAAAAGTAGCTAAAACTGTAGCTATAGCTACATTTCATTGTAGCTGTAGTTGTAGCTAGCTACTTTTTCGGAACTGTAGCTGTAGCTGTAGCTAAGCTACTTTTTTGGAAATGTAGCAGTAGTTGTAGCTAGCTACATTTTAAAAGTAGCTTTCCCAACACTGATTTTACCATATGGCGGTTAACATTAAAATTTCTAATGGGACACCTGTTATTGTATGACTGTGACTGTAAATACAATGTAAAACGTTTTTATTCTTTAAATTTTTTCTCTAAAGCTAACTTACTCGTTTTGGAGCTACAGCTTGATACACATTGGAAAAACAAAGCTTGAGCTGTGTATGATCTGCATTCTGAAGCTCCTAAACGAGTAACTTTAAAGAGGAAAAATCTAAAAAAGTCTTTAAAAAATGCATCAACATTCCAAAAATATGATAAAATACAGGGATTTTCATAAGAAATTTCAAAGTTAGCTGCCACACTTTTGGAAAAGTGGAATTCATATTTCCAATTTAAATTTATATTATGACTGGGGGACATAATCAGAATTTTTCAATCATCTCTGAAGACGGTTATAATGCCCACGAGACCGTGGGAGGTATTGATAATTATTGATTTTACCAAGAACGCGGGAGACGATGACAATGTCCCTACAACCGCGGGAGATAATCAGATGTCCACCTTTAGTTATAATATTGAATTTTTTTAACACCTTCATTTTTATGTAGTATTTATTTAATTTGTTGAGAGGGGTTCAAACTCAAATTGGCTTGTTATATTTAATTGCTGCATCAATTTTGTCTTTTTGACAAACAGCCCATGACTCGAAAATGCCTTTAGGGAGGGGTATAAGGACAGAAGTTGGTGGTAAAACCAATCCATACAGAAATATTTGTAAAATTTAAAAAATGGTATCGGTATCAAGAAACCGATAAATTTTGGTATTGACTCTTCAGTAGTACAATATACTACAAACATATACCTGAGATACGGGCGGTTGTGGTGCACATATCTACACTTGAGCTGAGCCGTAATGCTGCCTGGAGGCCTGGCTGCGTCTCGACACAACATCTCGTAAACATCTCTCTCAGGCAGCTCATCCAGCGGCCTGTCTTCTGTACTCTGCAAAAGTTAATTTGTTAATTGCTTAACAATTTAACCTCTTCATCTTATTCTAATGATTGCAAATGTTGAGGAGAACCTTTTCTTGCCTTTGTGTCGGCCCCAACAAACCTAAATCCTGTTGTTCTCCTGGGCCTGGACCCACTATCCAAACCCCTGACACTAAAATGCTTATTTTATTTTAACTTAAATCGATACCACTAATGTTCCATGTCTATAACCTTATTTCACCAACATTAATGTTCATTCGAGGTGCCAAGTTACCTTGCGGTCTTGTATGTTCAGAGGAGTGGCGTCCTGGTCAATGGCTGCCAGGTAAAACTTCTTGTTTCCAAGCGCTCTTTGGTGACTCGGCTGTATGGTTAACAGCTCATCTGTTAGCTGCAGCGCATTCTTTACATTACCTAAATCATATATCGTTTTATTAATGCATAAATAAACAAACCTATAATTCTATAGTCCCAAAAGTTAACTATAGGTAAGATTGCTTGGAATAAATATGAGCTAAAGCATGAGTATCACCTTTAACTGGCGTTAAGATTCCCTATTCCCATTACCCTCATCTCCATTCTAATCAATCTGGGTGGGATCTCTACTTCAGTATATAGAAGCCAATCGTATCACAACGAGAGCTCACCCTGCATGTAGGTGGAGTACGCCAGATACTCCAGTATTTCCCAGCGCTCCACTTTGGTCCTGTTTCGCTCCATCTCGTGTTTCGCCAGAGCCTCGCCCATCCACAACACAGTATGGTAGAAGTCCTGGTGGTTGTAGGATTGACGGCCTAGCTCAAAACAGTCTGCCGCTGAAATGACGGATCTAAGTCATTTAAAGTGTAGAGTAAGCAAGTGTAGTTTCTAATAGTATGAGTAAATATTTTAGGAACACACTACTCTAAGGCGAAGTTTAGTGTACAATGAGTTTTGAAAGAAGATAACTGTTTTGTTCCTGACTAAGATCAGCTAGTTTTTTAGCCAGTATCTAAAAAAAAATGGCTGCATTGATATTGATTTGTTTGTACGGTCAATAGAATATTTTACGTCACTGTACCTGTCAGTTGTGTACTGTACTGTACTCCGTTGAGCTCTCCCCGCGCTAGACTGCTGGTACTCAAATGGTATGTGTCCTGTAGCCTCATAAGCGCCACTGCTGCTCCTGTCAGGTCCTCCTCCGTGGGGAACTTGAGGTTATCTCGTAACATCGTCATGTTCTGCATGGCCTCTGCAGAATTACAAATGTTACATTATTGACTATGTAAAAGTGTTGACTATGGATAAACATTTCCTTGTCACTGCTCTGTAGCCAATTTTGGGGTGAAAATGGAATTAATTTAATTTAGTAACCAAAAGAGTGTACCAAAGTAAATTCCCAATTTCTGTCTAATACGGATATATAACCAAGCCAAACTAAAAATACAACTTAACCATACCACCATTTTGTCACATCACTATAAGAAAAACTAAGAAAAAATAAGCTCATTCTGTAAGTGACTGATTTAACTATATGTTCTTTTTGTATAGAAAATTGGCTACTGACCATAGGTGGGATTTTTACTTCACTATCTAAAAGTCAATGGGAAAAATATAAATAAGTGTAATTTCTTCAAGGGTAACAGTATTCAGAAAAATGTTTAAGTCATCAGACCAGAGTGCATGTTTTGAGGCGAAGATGAGTAAAATAATAATCCAGCTAACTCTAGGTACGGTATTGAAGATATGAATTATGAATTATTGATATGAATTATACAAGACCGGAGAATATGTTGGCTGCTGTTAATTCCAAAACCTGGACATAGCTAGAACTATTTGATTATTTATGATTATTAATTTATACTAAATCATCAAATACACAAATAGTAGTTATTACCTTGACTAAGGTCATTCTTGATTGTGGCCTCAACATCTTTCCAGTCAACCGTGAGCCGCTTGACCAGAAGGAAGGCGTTGAGAGGATTGGACAGGTAGAAGTTTGGATCTTTACTGGCTTCGTCGTGTTCACTAGTAAACTCTAGGTACTTCCTGCAAACAGACCATTTTATAGGTTATGTCTGCAAACCCACATATGGTCAACACCGCCTATGCGGATTTATTTTCATCATAATCCTCTTTGGATATTATGTTAAGGCTCGTTCACACATGGCGACCAACTCGCATCGACTTAACTTAGTCGCAGCTATTACTCGCCAGCAGAATTTAACTTGAGTTCACACATCGTGAGTCTTAGCTGCTAGTTCAGTTTTGCAAATTGTTTCGGGTTAATATTTGTGCTGTGAAAAATAACGATAAAAAAATCAGCTGTTAAATTATTAACACACGTTCCATATGACTGGTGAAGGAGACTAGACTGTTTAGACATAGCTACATACGCGCTACCAACTCGCGGCGAGTGAATCCTGTGACTCTCAAGGTTGGCTACTAGCGACTACTTGCCACAAATAACATGTTTGACTTTCTGCAGGAGTGAATTTTTACTCGCCGGCAAGTGATAGTCACTGCTATTTGATGGTTCGAAACTGGACCCAGCTGTTCCTGATCATTGGGCTTTAAATAAATGATCCTGGCTAATGAAAAAGCTGATCTTAGTCAGTAACAAAGCTACACAGATCATCTCACACCATTCTACACTCATCCTTCACTCATATTTGGGTTAAAATACGCACCTAAGTGGCGTCCCCATCTTAATGATTGATAATTGATAATTGATAATTGCTACTTTCTGTTGTCACATAGCGATTTTGGCTGCTACTCTAATCGCAGCGAGTAAAATGGCCATGTGTGAACTAGCCTTTACTGTTCCATTGCTGAATCCAAACTAGTATTGTTTTATTATAGATAAACAAGGGGACCAGTGTACATAACTCACATTTTAATACGCTTCAAAACTTGTTTCCGAGGAGTAAATAATGCAATACCATTTTTTACTTTTCACAGATTATGTTAAAGTTAGTTCTTGGGTAAATAAAACTATTAATGAACAGTAAATTAAATTAATTGATTTTAAATCTATACCATAAAAAGTGGTTTATCCACCTCTTTAAGTTAGCGTTCCTCCCTTCACTGACTCATAAGCTTTAAATTGACATCTTAATCGTAAAAATTGGTTAAGTAGGACGAGTGAAAAGAGGGACGTTACAAAGAAAATCCTCAGTTACTGAATTAAGTCTATAGATAGATACTTTAATACTTTACTTTGAAATGGCGACCATACAAATTAAATGTCCGGACAAACCTATTTTTATTTCACACCCTTGTATCCTAATAGGAAAGAATTGCAATGTTCTGCACAAGAAAAATGTTACAATAGGAGCTGTTTTTAAAGAAAAATCTACAATTCAAATAAAGTCAAATAAGACGAAAATCACACATTTCACAAAGACCCAACATGATGAATTAACATATCAAGAAACTCCAAATTGAATTCAAATCATCGAGGATCTGTTTGTATACACTATAAGAACTCTTTCCCTTTGTGCTTACAAATATTACAGGTTTAGGTCAAGGAGTCAAAGGGATCTGCAATTCAAACCATCTTACATAAGGGAGGGGAGGGGGGGAGTTGCAGAAGCTTCTATTCATCACCACTCTCTACCAATATTTGCCGAAGTCCTCCCACATAATGGAGATCTCATCCTGAATACATTACAAGTACTTGGCATCCTTCCATCAATCTTCATTAGGGGGCAAAACTTGGGTAATTCAGTCGATGAATCAAGTGCATCGTGACATAAAATTTCTCTCACACGGTACTTTTAATACTTTTCAATGAAATGGCGACCATACAAAGTAGGTATTTTAAGCAAAGTATGAATGGAGATGAAAGTAGGATGAGGGCGCGCGATCTTGTAGTCTTGTTAGTGACTAAGGCCGACTTATTCAAATTGACAAACTGACAGAAAATAATACGATGACTGATGCAAATTTAACATCATTTTCTTGCTTATCTATATATTAATTTGAAACTGTTTTTCTTTGTCACAGCTATTTTGAGAGAACGGCTGGGCGTAGAAACTCGGTAGAGGTGTCTAAAGAAAGGTCCTGGTCTGTAGATGAGCCATCAAAAGAGAAACATGGAGAATTCCCTCGGGGCTCTGCCCCAGTGGCCTTTAAATTCCCATCCCATGTTATTCTTATGGAGGAAAACGAGGTTTTTGTCACAGCTAATTTGAGAGAACGGCTGGGCGTAGAAACTTGGTAGGGGTGTCTAAAGAAAGGTATTGGTCTGTAGGTGAGCTCTCAAAAGAGAAACGAGGTAAATTTCCTTGGGGCTCTGCCCCAGAGGCCTTTAAAGTTCACTCTGCAATTTTGTTTACATTTTGACCATATGGATAATTTTACACTACTTTTAATGAACCAGCTGTTAATGTTAAAATTGTATTCAAAGGTTTACTGAAACTGTCAAAATTAAATGTTTACATTATTATTTATGATTTTAAATGGATTCTCCACTGCATGGCAAGTTTTTTATAGTTTCAACAAAATGATGAATTTATGATACGTTTGAAATGTTTTGTTCAAAAATCTATGCTTTATTGCTCTTAGAAAATTTTAAATTATGAAATAAGTGTGACTTATCAATTTCAAAGGAACATATAACTATTCCTTATCGGGTTAGCTTATACATATTGTAAAGTTGGCACTTGCCTTTTTTCCTACTTTCAATCACCATTTATTTTTAATTTCAAGAAAGAACACCTGAGATTCATTTATTGGTATAACAGTTTTTGATAATCGGGTTGAAAATTGTGTCATAGATGAGTACGTTGAGGATGGGAGCTGTGTTCAAGTTTTGGAATAGACTAACTACGGAGTCTATGGTTTTGGTAAAGTAGGTGAACTAATGTCAATTCAGGTATTTAAAAAAAATGTGTACACAGTTTTTACTTTGATGTACACATGTAGCTAGGTTGAACAACACATCTAAACCTCACTACATACAAAACATTCGGAAACACAACAGTGTCATCACAACTCATCGCATTTGCATAATTTGTTACCAATGCTGGACTAGGTTATGGATTTGGTTCCGCAAATGTTCAAGATTTGTGATAAAATTTCCTACAATTATGGTTCATTCCAATCCACGAAATACATGCACAGCTTTATGTGATCTATATGGCCAAGGCAAAACTACCACATAAGTTAATGAATTATCAAGTAAGAACAGGATGATTACATACATGGGTCGATGTGGCAAGAGAAGGATTTAAAATTGCTGAGATCGAAGTAAGAATGTTACTGCTTTCTGGAGAATCAGATATTTTTATAAAAAAAAGATGAAGATTTACATCTTTTAAGATAAATCCGGATACAATCTGAATGATTTTCCTAAAGCAGATGGAATTAGTGGTTAGTAATAAATATTGACTCTTTCCGTAACATGATAGACTAATTATATGAACTCATTCTCCCATATAGTGAAAGTGGCTTTGGTATGAAACAAACTCATGAACAAACAATTATAAGACTCCTAAAAAACCTTTTGGGCAACCTAAAGCCAAAAAAAGAAAGGTAGGAAATATTGTGTTAAACGAATTCATTAATCACGTTTTTTAGGGAACACAATCGTCATAGGCCTACTTATTATTGCTTATCCTCCCTTCATATAACTAAGATTTTAATGACTTCACTCTATCCAACGCAGTTAGCTGAATTTACATAAAACCTCAAGATTAACCGTCGATTTCGACGGGGTTCCACTAGTAAAAAATTAATCTGACATTACTCCGATATAGTACATAATGCTACGGAATCCTTCAAACTTCTTTATGAAATATCCAAAACATATTTTGTGTGTTCGCAAATAACTCAAAATAAAATATTAAAGACTCATAAACAATTCAATTTGACGTAATAGATAACTCTGTTGTGATTGGATTGAGAAGTAGATATTTATTAGCTTCTTGATAACAAATGAAAAGGATATATGTGGAACTTCCATAAAAAGTCACTCCTCCCCTAATCACATGCAAAATTTGATAAGGAGTTAATCTTGAAAACAAAGTCTTGTCATTAAGGTTCTATATTGTATTTAGAAGGCACAATGTTTACAAGCGTGGTTGTTGCCCTAATATGGCAGTTTCTGAATAAATGGAACTATATATAGTGTACATGTTGCTCGAATTCGAGCAATTGCAAAGTATTACAGGAGTTATTTCAAAACGAATAACAGTCATATTTACAATGAGTTTAAAAGAGTCAACTCAAAGATTACCAGTGTGTAACTCAGACCATGTTTATCTTCGTTATTGATAAACCTAAAGCATTCCAGCTGGTTTTCTCCTTCTCAAAATGCCTCGCTGTACATGCAACACAGGTCATTGATAGAGGGCCAATCGAGAAGAAAAGGTTGTTTTGGGGTAGTGTTAGGGCGCATTTGTAACCTAATAGTTGAGATTGTCCAGGGTCAGGTGCAGACTGTGATGAGTTAAGCCTATTACGCGCCACTGTTCTGTAGCTGCGGTCGTTATCACGATTACGCCTCCTGTCTATTTTCCGTTGTCGTCGCGTCGGAGGCATGTAAAAGAAAAAGCAACAAATAAACAAATTATAGCTATACAAAACAACGATAAACCCTCAAATTTAAGTTACAACCATACTAACACTATTCGTCTTGGGGGTTATGTTTACTCAAACTCAAATAGTAAATAAATGTACTCAATGTGTTGCATTGAATTGAAAAATAAATAACAGCCATTAAATTATACAGCTGATCAAAGTGTAAACAATTATGTTCTCCATGAGGATAACATGGGAACTTTCAAATCCACTGGGGCAGAGCCCAAGGGACGCATCCAAAAATGTAAGGCCAGTTTGCAAATCTACGCGACACGCTCTTTCCAATGAGACGTCAATGGATAAAATCGATTAAGAAATGGCGGAGGAGTTCAACGGACAAAGTTTCATGTAGCGTATTAATTATATAGATGTGATCGACTTTTGGAAGCTGAAGTAGAATCCCATCTAAATGAATCAGCTGTCTCAAATTTGTTATTTATATTGAACATCGTTGAACGAGCACCTTATACAAGTGCTACAGTAAAAACTTCTTCCTCAGCTATTGAAACTAGGATATTTGATATACATGAAATTTTATACAATTATTAGTATAGTCCCAACAGTTTGGATGGGTTAGAGGTTGGCATGTTCAAAAGAAAACATAATTTGACATCAGCACACTGAAGGTTTACTTAATTTGGAACTGGTAACAAAAAACTGTGGCCATTTTATACTGGGTTGAGATATAGACCTCTGGTTTTTGCCGGTTTTTTTTATCTAATGGCCTTCAAAATGGTGGGTCGCTTGATGGAGCTGTATAAAATGCTAAATACTAAATATCAACCTAATGAAGTGAATGAGGAAAAGAAAAAAATAAGAATCAACTGAATATTTCAAGCAAAATTTCATAAATGCAGGTGATTGAATTGTTTATTGGTTTTAGAGGAACATCAAAATTTGTTGTGAACTTTTGGAAACAATATGATTTGGACAGATCCTTTTTAGCGAATTTCCCATATAGGGAATAAGCTATTACCGTAGTACTCATGGTAAGACCTGGACGCGAGACCGATTTTTTTTTTTTTTCGAGGTCCCTAGAGACCAAAAACACCATCCGTTCAAATTCATATATATATATATATATTTATATATTTATATATTTAACGAGCTCCAACCTAAAGGTGAGTGAGCGTAGCGAACGAGCTCCAACCCAAAGGTGAGTGAGCGTAGCGAACGAACTTCAACCAGGACGTGATTGAGCGATGCGAACGAGATCATCTTGAAAATTAAACGTAACGGTACTTAAATTATAAATAGTCAAAGGCAAGACAACGTCTGCCGGGTCGGTCTGTCTTAGGGGAAACCTATAACTTAGGCGATACAAAGTTCGCCGGGTCAGCTAGTATATATATATATATATATATATGTGTATAATTGCATTATTAAAAACTAAGTACCCTTTTTTTAATTCATTTTATTTTATTTTAAAAAAGGGTACTTAGTTTTTAATAATGCAATTATACATCAAAATAGTAGCCCTAATCACTACAGTTTTCTTAATATATATATATATATATATATATATATATGTCCGTTAGCACGATAACTCGAGCAAAAATGATCCGATTTTGATGAAATTCGGTACAAACGTGTAAACCTACGTTTATTCGAACGAGTTCGCGATCCAGCATGATCGGACCATGGGAACGGGGGTTTACGGGGGGTTTTACGGGGTAAAAATAGGTGTTTCGCATTTTTGACCCAAAAAACATAAAATTTAGCAATTTCTTTCCAAACCATTTTGTAGAGCTTAAAAAAACAAATAATTTTGTATATTGAAGCTTTATTATGCGCCTAATGGTTACGGAGAAAATTCCAAAAAATTGTAAATTTAAAATTCCCATGTTATTCTTATGGAGAATAAGTATACTGTCGTAGTTTGCTTGTTTATGAACATATTTTGATCAAATTTGAAAAATGTTTTTATTTCTTACTAACTATTAACATAAAAAAAACAGTTTTACCTCCCTGATGCAGCAAACCTAAGTTCTTGTTAAACTAATTCTATTTAAATCGGGAATAAATGTTATATTTTTAAGTAGACATTTCAGTGTAAATCAAATGGAAATTTGCTTAGTCTGCAGGTTTGCTGCGGCGGGGGTATTTTTAATTGTTATCCATGAAACATTGTATATTTTTGTATCTTTGGCAACCTTATTTTTTTAAGGCAGACATGTTTATTTTTATAAATAAATTCTTTACTCTCTGACCCTGAAATACCCCATTTTGGTGTCCCGGGCAAAATTGCCATAGCGACCAAAAAGTAGTTTTTAGTTTCTTGTTATGGTAATACTAAGTTTATTTTTCCTGGTACTTTACATAAAAACGTTAATCGGGGATATTGATGTATATTTTTTCATATGGGGTCTCTCAGGTGGATGAAAAATAAAATCGGCCGCCATTCTGTAATGGGTTGAGATAGAGACCTCTAGTTTTTGCCGATATTCTTTTAGGCTAATGGCCATTAAAATGAGGTGTCATAATAGGGCTTTACATTCAAAATGTTTGAGTTGCCCCCAAAATAACCCATTTTGGGTTTTCGGACGAAATTGGAATACCAACAAAAAAATTGCACTTTTATGCCGTAGAGGTGTGCAGAGTTTGGTTTTCCCGGTGTAACCCATTAAAAAGTTGACAGTGTCCATATTTTTTCCAACCCTAATAGTCTTACTTCTTAACTAATTGCAGTTTGTGTTCCTGAGCAGAGATGTAGTCCTCGAGGGTGTGTAGCAGCGCAGATTCCGACTCCAGCAACTCTTCCAAGTCTACCAGAGCTGTGTAGAGCTCAGCAGAACACACAGTAATAGACACTGCAAGGAGCAGCAGTCGTCCAGCCATGCTCATGTCTGCAACATCAAGAATTAATTGTTTGTGTTGCATAGTATGTAGAAACAAAGCCTCAGATTTGAGTAACCTTTCCAGGTCCACTGTAAGGTTAGAATTATGTAACTAACCCCTCCAACTGTGATGGGGAACAAAGTAAATGGACAGAAAATTATTTTTTCTTGAGAAAATCAAGAACCACAACAGAGCATACGTAAAAAAATATTTGCAATCATAATTTGAATAAATACATTTGATATAGTACACACGTTTAATTTAGGGCAATGCTATATTCATGGCATTATTTACTTAGAATCCAACAGCTGGTACAGTTTCCAATTCATTGATTGTTCTCAAGCTACACAATAGAACACTATTAATCTTTAAAAATAAGTTTTGCAATCATGTCTAAGAAAATAGAACAAAAAAGTAATGGTAAAATCAGAGTGATGAGTAAAAACCTAGAGAAGAATACACCAACCTCAAGCTTACCAAAGAATAAAAAGTCAAAGCTTGAAAGTTCGACTGATTCAAAATTACCCGTTTTCTGCCATGCAAGAAAGACTCATAACTGCTGTGTTGATCAACCAGGTCCTGGATTAAAGAAGCATCTCTCAACACTTGGAAGAAAATCTGTCTCTCTTGTCGATCTAACACCAAACACTCAGAAAATTAAAGTCAAATCAAGAAGGAAAAATGAGATTGACACAAATCTGCAAGTGGAATCACAACTGCAAATTTCATTCTTAACCAATAAGGAGTCGGAGTTGGCAAAAACTGTTTGCAAGATGTTCATTCTGAATGCTTGGAGGCATCGTATCAAGCAAACATCTTCTCTTCAAACCCTACTAACGAGGCTGAGAAATGAAGTGGACAATCTGAAAATCCAAAAGTCTGTTTTATATGAATTGTTTGCTAAAGGACATGATAGACTTCAAATCTCTAGAAGAGAAGTGAATCATCTGAAATCTTGCCTTCAGAACGGACGGAAAGAAAATGTTCGGTTGCAAAATGAAAATAACAATCTGAAAACTGAGAAAATAATATGGCAAAACAAAGAGGAGGAAATGATATGCAAAATGAAAACTATGAAGGATGAGTTGATTTTGACATCAGAGCAAAACAAGTATCTTAGGAGAGATTGTGACGATTTGGCGAAAACTCTTTCAGAATGCAAGCAAGATAACATAGAACTCCAAGACCGTCTAAGTAATGTTTCAGTTTGTCTCGAAGAAAAGGAGAAAAGTTTGAAAGAGATTCAAATTGAAAATTCAAATTTAATCTCCAAAACATCACAGTTAGAAAAGACAAATGATAAACTTATGGAAGAAATCAAAAATAAAGAAATGAAGATTGATAATCTGAAAAAGACAAAAGCGAATTTGAACGTATTGCTGAAAGTTTTTCAGATCATATGCACCGTTCAGAACGAAAGCATTTTAAACTTAAAGCGGAATTTATCTGAACAGAGGAAACATCTGAAGAAACAGACTAAATCCTTTGAAAACTTGAGGAATATGGTTGAAAAGTCTGAAGCTGAAAAGGAAGAGCACATTAAAAACTGTACACTAGAGAGAAACAGAGTGACCTTTGAAGCAATTAAAAATTCATCAGTATATTTATCTTTTAACAACCCTAATCCTGAGAAACAAATTAATCCGTTCTTTTTGTGATATGGTAAGTTATTGTAATTAATTGTTATAAATTACTCTCATTTATTAAGCCTATATTCCTGGCATTTCTAAAAATTACATAAATCTTTTAGGAACTTGTATAGCTTTAGTGAGTGTAATCATTAAAAATGTAATTTAAACTAATAACCTAAACGTTTTTTTTTTAATAGCAACATTATTAAGTTAACACAGTTATTTTTTATTGGTTTTAACAAATTTATTTTTTGATAAAACCAAACTAATTTTGGAACATAACTTAGTCAACTTGTCTGTAGTTAAGATTCAACTAAACAGTTAAATAATTTTATCCTACTGTAAATGAAGATAAGTTCTATATAGTTTCGGCACACCCATGAGACTGGATCTGCTAAATAAGATGTCGAATACAATACATAAAAAGTACACCGGCTATTATTGTTTGTGATTGGCTCTTCTCAACTCTACCAAAACTCTAATTTCAACATTGACCTATTACGCTACTGCCCAGCCGTCATAAAGATAAACACAATTTCCTCGTAGTTAATAAACCACTCTTCACTAGAGCGTTCAATTGTGCAAGTGTTAACTCTAAAGGGTTAGTTAATGGACTCAGATCGCAAATTCAGATTAGGCCTACTAGTATGTAACTGCGGTTAGCGTAACACGGGAAGCGACGGTTTTGGTAACCGCGGTGGCGGTCGTGGTGCACGGTGGAGACCACGAGGTTTTGTCAGAGTTTCAGGCATTGATCATATACCACGCTAAGTGTATAGTAAATTGTATTATCGTCGCATGATGTACCTTTCTTACCGATTGGCGACTTATTCCCAAGATTTAGTGCACAAAGTATACGTATTTTTAGGTTATAGCCTCATGAATATTACAACAGAAACGGTTATAATACACATACAGGGTGAGTTTTAAATGAGTTCCCCCCCTACTTTTTTCTACATTTCTTAAGATATCAGCTCCGGACCACGTCAGATCACTGTAGAGTAGTAAGTACTTCATTTTGATTGGGTATAAATTTTTGGCCGCCATCTTGGATCCGCCATATTAGATACAAAGTTTTTTTTCAAATGTAAAGGTAGGGTTGTGACCTATCGTTTTAAACTAGATTTGTATGCTGAATACGATGCTGCAATTCGTTTTTAAAAATCTTGATCCATTCTAAAGTTATGAGAACTTTTTATAACATTATTTTTAGCCCATTTTAACATTGTGCATTTAGAAACTAAGAACATAATCGCAAAATAGTGCTAGATAAAGATAAGTATACACCACATAATATAGATAAATCTTTTTCTAGTAATATTTTGCGATTATGTTCTTAAGGTACGCGCGCACTGCGCCGTCACGGCCGTCACGGCCGTCACCGCCGTCACCGCCTTTTTCAGGGGGGGTGCGCGCACTGCGACGGCACGGCCGGCCGTCACGGCCGTCACAGCATTTTGGACTGATGTATTTTGCATTGCAGTTGACTTGTTTTGCTGTGAGCAGTGAGAGTGTGGGAGCTATGGATATCGAAGAAGACGTGGTGGTAGTTGGATTAATTTAAGGAGAAGAGGAAGAGGAAAGCGAGATTTTTGGATACATAATATAAATAGAAAACGACTATGTTTTGGTGAATTTCACACATTATTCTTGTAGAGGACGATGACAAATTTTTCCAGTACTTTAGGATGAGCCACGAAAAGTTCGAATGTCTATTTCGATACCTAGAGGAGAGTCTTTCTAGACATGATACATTGGCGTCCGTCGCGTCTGTGACGTCCGCGCCGTGGGGTGCGCGCACTGGGACAGCACGGACGTCACGGACGCCGCGGAATTGTCCTGAAATTCGCTCCTCCGAACTTTCTGACAGACGTCGGTGGCGGCGGTGGCGTCCGTGACGGCCGTGCCGTCCTAGTGCGCGCACCTCCATTACATTACATGGGAACGACTTTTGGAAAAGGCCGGCCGTGACGGCCGTGACGGCGCAGTGCGCGCGGGGAGTTTCTAAATGCACAATGTTAAAATGGGCAAAAAATAATGTTATAAAAAGTTCTCATAACTTTAGAATGGATCAAGATTTTTAAAAACGGATTGCAGCATCGTATTCAGCATAAAAATATAGTTTAAAACGATGGGTCACAACCCTACCTTTACATTTGAAAAAAAAAACTTTGTATCCAATATGGCAGATCCAAGATGGCGGCCAAAAATTTATACCCAGTCAAAATGAAGTACTTACTACTCTTCAATGATCTGACGTGGTCCGGAGTTGATATCTTAAGAAATGTAGAAAAAAGTAGGGGGGGAACTCATTTAAAACTCACCCTGTATAAACAAATTATGTCACTGACCCAAAGGGCCATACTAATAGCCGTAATAGCTGGTATGGATGTTTTTTTGACAAACTCCATTTAAATATTAATACAAATATGTTTTCGGGCCAGTGACATAATTTGTGTTTATGATCCATACAGTTTCTGTTTTACTGTTCGTGTGTAGCCTACGTTCCGTGACGTGAACTTATGAGATTCAGTGATGACTGAAGCTGAAATTTACTTGAACTAAAATAAGCTTAGAAACACTTAGTGGACATTTTTGCAGTCAATCGGGTATAAAACTCACGCAAATCAGCTTCAGATTGAGATTTTACATGACAAGTTGGTGGCCAAAAGCAAATCAATTGTGCTACCATGGTACATGCTGTTGCTTGACACGCCTTCACCCTTAAACATATCACAAAGTATTCCTTGTGTTTTCTAACGGATTGAACATAATTTTGTATGTCTTAAACCCGTAATCTCTAGAGTATTGATTGACTAGGGAGTTGTACAATAATGGCGTAACCAGTTTCCACAACCAACATAACGAGGGAAGAGACACGAAATAGTTGAATAAAGTCTGTTTAAATCGCTTCGTGCGGAGGGAAAGTGAGTGAATCTCTAGGAAACAGCAAATAGTGTCGTCGGCGTCGTGACTTATTAGTACTTACTACGACTACTCGTGATGAGTTGAGCCTTGTCAGGTAGATATAGGCCTAAGAGATGCAATTAGCTTAAAAATAAACACACCTTGAGTTACAACGTAATTTTATAAATTACTTTAGGAAGTTCATAACTCCATTTCATGAACATCCACAGGTTATCACCTTGCGGAAACACGGACCTAGAAATGTTCCCTTCAAAAAATAAATGCTCACCTCTACGCCTTAAAATATCCCTCTGCCACACTCAAGCATCTTCCATTACCCTTTACAACAACTAAATTAAATACTTGTGATGATCAATTTTTACTTTCTCCCCCTATACCATAGTATATGGAGAAAGTATTGTTTTTTTCAAAATTTTCGAGTTTGAGTTTTGAGTGGATATATTCGTTTTGGGTCCCCCTGGACCCAAAAAAGTGGTTTTTGAAGTGATGTCTGTGTGTGTGTGTGTGTGTGTGTGTGTGTGTGTGTGTGTGTGTCTGTGTGTGTGTCTGTGTGTCTGGATGTGTACAGAGCTAGGGACTACACCTGTGGTCCGATTTCAATGAAATTTGGTATGTAGGTTCTAATCCGTGGTATCTCCAGGCGTTTTTTTTTCATTTTTTTGAAATTTTGATTTTTTATGGGGATTTTCCCATAAAAACCCATAAAAACCGAAAAAATCGGATTTTCTCAAAAATGGCCCGAACGATTTTGATAAAGATTTAGTATGTTGTAGCCCTTTAAATTCTGAACAAAATGGTACAAATCCCATTTCTGTAAAAATTACGGTTCAAAAGTTATGGTAAATTATGTTATTTTCCCATAAAACCCCCATAAAATAACGAAAAATAGGATTTTAGACAAAAATCCGGTTTTGATTTAACAGAGTATGTTATGATCCTTACAATTTTGATAGTTTTTGCCATTTTTTAGAAAATTTTATTTTTAATGGAGATTTTCCCATAAAACCCCATAAAAACTGGAAAAATAGGATTTTCTCAAAAATGGCCCGAACGATTTTGATAAAAATTTAGTATGTTATAGTCCTTTATATTCTAAACAAAATTGTACAAATCCCATTTCTGTAAAAATTACGGTTCAAAAGTTATGGTAAATTATGTTATTTTCCCATAAAAATCCCCATAAAATAACGGAAAATCGGATTTTCCCAAAATTGGCTAGAACGATTTTGATAAAAATTGAGTATGTTATAGTCCTTTAAATTCTGAAGAAAATTGTACAAATCCCATTTCCGTATATTTACTCTCACCGCTTACTCATGAGAAAGGTTGTTGACAATCTTATGGGAGAAAGTATGTGTCAGAATGCTGATACCGTTTATTTTAGATACAGTTCAAAAAGTGTTGCGTCTTCAAGCAAATTATAAAAATAAACACCACGAACAAATAAATCCCGTGACCTTTACATACTGAGTCAACAAGATAAGACGGGACCATGTTTTGTCGGATTAGTTTAAGAGAGTCACTCATCACCCCTAAAGTTATTTCTTTCCAAGACAATACTGGATACATTGTGTTGTCATCTCTAACGACATCCCTAAACACTGAGTTTAGTTTATCAAAATTTCCAATCTCTACGATGGAAAATCGACTTTCAAATGTCAGAAATTTTTTAATTCAACCATTTACGGACCGAATCACCGAATGCACCAGACGATACTGAGAAAGGAACAGCGGACGTGAAGACATAACTATAAAAAATACATTCGACATTGACTGGCAATCCCACAAAGCAAATCACTATCTAGGCCATCCTCTACGTGAGTAACCAGTATTTCATGTCCGGTAATTTAAAAAATACAAGTCATTTACGACATGTTTGCACGAACGTCCAATTGACGGTGCAATGATAATAGTAAAAATTAAAACTCCGCCAGAAAACTTTGCGCAAGTCCCAAAAACTGTTTTACAATGCACACATTTAGCGTTCTGTAAGTAAATCAACCCCCATGAGGACAAACTCATGGACATTAAAAATGCAGCTGGTTTTATAGAACTAATGACAATTAATTAACTTAATATGCTTAACAGGTTCCCGAATC